ACGTAAAATAGATAGAGTACGGGCCCTAAAATAGATCCCTGTGGGACCCCGGCCTTACTTGTTTCGTAATAGATTTACTTTCTCCAATTTGAATGTGGAAAGTCCTGTTTGGTCAGAAAAGAAAAGAATAAATAATTTTAATCAGCTCATCACTGAACTTTAAGCTGATTAACTTGTAAATAAGCCCCTCATGCCAGACGCGGTCGAACGCCTTCGCCACGTCCTAGCATGAGTAAGGCAACATATCTCTTGTTGTGCAGAGCACTGCCAATGAATTCGTTGAGTCGAACAACTGTTTAGTCGTGGAAAGTGCCTTTCTAAAACCAAATTGTTCTAGAGGTAGTTTATCCATGTGAGGCTGAATACGGCTAAGGACAATTCTTTCTAGTATTTTACCCATACTGGGTAACAGGCTAATGGGCCTGTACCCTTCCTGTTTTCGTAAGATTTTTTCCCGGTTTAGGGAGCACATATCATCTTAGCAGATTTCCAGATTTGCGGAAAATAACTGTTATAAAGGACAAGCGTTTAGAATGCCTGTGAGCCGGTTGACCATATTAATAGGCAGCCATTTAAGCGCCACATTATTTACATTGTCCTGCCCTGGGGCCTTCCTGTTCCTGAGTTTTTTTGATGATGCTAAGTATTTCATGGGGCGAAGTGAGCTCAAGATGACTCTGCGTATCATAATTATCAATCCAGTCAGAAACAGTGGAGTTAACTAAAGTAGAAAAATCCTGATTAGATGGTGAGGTGTTCTGGGTAAACTGCTTTTCGAAATGTTCAGCAAGCGTGTTACATTTTTCACTATTTGTAAGTGCAATTCCATGCTCATGATAAATTGGTCTGTTTACAGTATTCTTATTTTTTAAGCGTCTTACAAAAGACCAAAAGGAATTACTTGGCTCATTAAAGCTTTCAATCTTTTCGTCCCAGAGATCCTTCCGGTAAATACTGATCTGTTTTTTGATCTCTCTACTGATCCTATTCATTTCTTTCTTTGTGTTTGGGTCAAAGGTAAGGTGAAACCTCTTTCTGATCCTGTTCCTGTCTCTGATAAGATTTTTAATTCTAGTCGGTAGTTTATTTGTGATGTGCTTTCTAGGAATCTTTCTGGTGGCTGCATCATAAGCGTTTTGTATATCTGTCGTCAGCTGCCTCGCAGCACGCTCTATGTCATCGGGAGTGCGTAACATAAGGTTTGTGCGACTTTCTGAGAGTATTTCATTAAATTCCCTCCAGTTCGTCGTATTGATAAGCGCTTCCATGACTTCCTTAGTCGTACCAAGAGTCGCAATGACTGGGCAGTGATCCGAGTCCAGATCCTGTAAAACCTCTAGGCTATAAGACAGTGAGATGGTAGAAAGGAAGATGTCAAGTATATCACCCGAATTACCGTTATTGGGCAAATAAGTGTGCTCACTCGGCACATGTAAATAAACCGGGTAATTATTTATGAATTCCGACAATTTAATACCGTTGTTATTAGTCCTCCTACAATTCCATTCTTGGTTCTTAGCATTTAAGTCACCCGCAAGAATGACCTGCTTGTTGATATCCAATATCTTTGCTAAGTAATCGACATCGAGAATATTCTTCGGAGGATTATACATTAGATTGTACATAGAGTTAAAATACACATTCCCATAGTGCGGGAGACGGACAGATACCGTGACCAGCTCGTGTCCATTAAATCGCTCGTCATTGATTAGGCAGGATTGTAGGGAGCTGCGGACAAAAATTGCGACCCCCCCCACCTCGGTGACTTAGTCGATCGCATCTATAGCAAACATAGTTCGGAATTTTCATCTGGGTACTGGCGGCGTAGCAAAAGTCTCCGTAATCATTGCCACGTCAATATCATGACCCTGAAAAAGTTAGAAAGTTCCGTAATTTTATAAGCAATGCCTCTAGCATTCCATGTCATGATCTTGATAGGAGTAAGCGTAGGTCTAATTTGACCCATTAACAATTGTAGTGGAAGTTGTTATCTCCTGATTATTTTCTTGTATTCCTCTGACCTGCTGTGAAATTTGAAAACCAGCAGTTTTTATAACGGAAACGAGTTCCGCCAGGTCAGGGAAGACTTGCTTCGCTTCACTTAAAATGTCTGAGTAAAGTCCAGAGGACAGCGCCTGCGAATAAGTTTTGTTTTCAATAACCCTACTGGGGAAATTGATTGTTTTATCTGTTTTTCTTTTCGGGAATTTCTCACACCCCCTGAAACTGGAAGTGTGGGAACCCCCGCAATTTACACAAACCGGAGGCTTGTCTCTATTATTTCTATCAGGGCAGTCTTTCACATAGTGCTCTTTGCTGCATCTGACACATTTGGGTGCATAATTGCAACCCGCCTGTGTATGATTGAACCCCTGACAACGAAAACATTGCAGGGGTCCTTGTCTCCCCAAATACTCTTTAACTTTGATTTTCATATGGCAAAGAAATCTTTCATTATAGATTTCCTTTAGATTTTCTCATTTTTTGGAAGAGATATTAAGAACAGCGGAAGTTTAGTGACTTCCCCGTTGCGGTCGTCTGGTCATTTGTTTAATTTCCTTTATTTGGTAATTTAATTGCTCTAATTCGGTTTTAATGTCCTCAATCTGGGAGTTTACAGTGAGTCCTCTGAGGACAACTTTTAAGTATCGGTCCTCTGGGAGGATATAGGAATGATGTTCCACATGTTTTTCTTTGAGAATTTGGACAACTGTCCGGTAATCATCTGGAGTTTGCGTAATCACTTTGATACTCCCATTAGGAATCTGTTCTCCGTGAAATTTGATCTGTTTTTGAAGGAAAATATCACTTATTTCCCTCCATTTCAGTAAATTTTCTCTTAACGTAATTGGGGGAATTTTGGAGTTTTTATTATTTTGCTTTGGATTATTTGTGGCAGTGGAGTTATCATTATCCGGTTGTGTAGTATCCATGTTTTCATTATTTCGTGTGTTTGTGTTTTCATTGGCTGCTACTAATGTAGCTGATGTATCAGAATTTCCCTCCTGACTTAGTGGCTTTTGTGGAGTACTTTTAGCAGGACTACCAATCTTAATTTTCTTAGCATTGGGTCTTTGGGTACGTATTCTGACAGTTTGGTCACCTTTAGTTTTAGGAAGATCTTCATCAGAACTTGTGGGTTGATCTACGGAAATTTCCTTTAAGGAATCAAAATTATTATGTATTTTAATAGGGCTTCTGTCCCTATCATTTTCTGCTTTGTGTTATCATATGACGTGTTTTGCTGTGTTTTATTCAAATCCTGTTGAGTTAACTGCTTATTAACTACAACTAGCATATCAAACATACTCAGTAAGAAGTTATGCATTTTACCTTCTGTATCTGTGAAAGTGCCATTTTGCAGGCGAATAGTCTCTAGTTCTTTAATTTGAATCCTCACGGCTTCCAAAATCGTATCCATATCGCAGTCCAAATCCAAGCAATCCGGAGTCCCGCGCCCCGGAACCGGACCCACTCGACGGTGTTCCGGCAGACGGATGAGCGGGCGAAAGTCTACTAGGCCCCTATCTCACACCTGACAGCGTGAGCCTGGGGGTAACTAAGTAGACACAACGACCAAAATCCAAAATTTTAATTACGCGCACGCAATTAATTTAAAATCTGATGTTTTAATTTAAAATGCTAAAAATAATTACGCAAAAATAAAAGCGCCGAAAATCAGTATCAGTATAGCGCGGTATCACTCGTACCAGCAATTAAGCTAATTCGCAAGAAAAGGCAAAAATAATATAAGCATCCAGGCTTTTAAAATATAATACTAACCGAGGATTAGCATTTAAAAATGCTGATGCAAGCGGATAGCAATTAGCACGTGGTCGCACTCCGCAACACACGCAAAATCAGACAGGGCGTACACGTGGTAACAGGACCGGAAGCAGGCACAATCTCGACGACGAACCTTCTCCTATGGTGTCCACCCAAAGAATCTATAGTGATTCCTAGATTCTTTGGCCCCCCTGACTTTTTGATTAGCTTAGACTTGACCGGCTATTGCAAGAGAATGTTGCCGTTCCAAAATTAAAGCGCAAGGGCACTTGACATAAATAAATCCGGCAGAGCGACGCGAGATACTTATACCAGAAGTAGGCATGACGTCATCTCCCGACAACCAATCAGCTATCGGCACGATTCGGCTTTCCAGATGACGTAACATCACGTTTCGTTTTTGCATCTTAATTAGGTTGAAACAGTCCGTTCTCAACGCAAACAGTGGCAATAAGAAAAAGAAGTAGAAATAACTACTATATTACATTAAAATAAGAACTAAACCTAATAAACATTTCAAGGAGGTGAGATGATGCAGTAAAAGGGTTACAATAAGTCATATTTTCGAACACGATTTTGTGTCGAAATACCTATGTTAGAATAGTGCTATATATAAATTTAATATATATTCCAATTCGCGCTTTCGAGACATGAAGAACGCAATTTGAATTTCATTAATCGGCCCAATAGAACGGGAGATATAAAACTGTCCCGCCCTTTTTTTGCACACTATACCTAATTTATTCAATTGATGGGGCTGGGAAGTGCTCTACAGCACCTACCTACTTTTTGATTATGTCCTTGTGGCTATGATTTAATTTTAAAATAAAGCAATCATTATGGTATTCATTTTGAAACTGTTTCGCAAATTTTCAAACTACTATTCTATTTGAACATCAACAAAACAGGCACTGCGACAGATGTACTATGATTTCCACATCAATGCAAATGAGCTGTGTGCAGTGCTGATGAATGCAGCAAAAGTCAGACGTTTGAAAATTTGTAATGAAAGAAACAAGTCAAATTATAGTACAGTAATCTGATTTATAATACAGTTTTAATTTCAAGAACTTTGATGTATAATAAGTTCTTCTGGACTACATTAGAGTAAAAATAATGCAATTTTGTGAATGAGTAAAGGGAATGAATTTATTAAATTTTACAGCAAAACTATTTTGTTTTCAGATTTTTCATTTGATATTAATTGTTATATTCTTAAATCTAATATTTCTAATACTTTAAGAGAAAGTTACACAATTATATTTTCTAGGCAGACATTTATGCTGAAATAGGCGAGGTAATTTTGGGCTTAAAAGAGCCGTATGTGCACAAAACAACTGTTTTCAAATCATTAGGTATGTTTTAAATTATCACATTTTTCCCTATAACAAAAATTTTGTAGTATATTTAATCTTACTTTGAACCATTTTCATCCTCTATAAATGCAATAAAATATTTTAGGTCTTCATATTTTTTTTAAAACCACTATTATGGCCTTCGCCTCAAAAGTTAATTATACAAATTTTTATAATTAACTTATTGAAACAACTATTATTTTGAACTGTATAACTGCACAACAGTCTTTTATGCAGTCCATCATAGTTAAATAATAATATTATTTATTAAAGTAACTTAGGTAATAAGAATATCAATTGTTTCCAATAAAACTGTATCTTATTTGTTTTTGAACAGTTAAATTTTGAAATGCAGAAATTTTAATAATTTACTAAGAAAAAATACATCCTCTTCAGTGTCTTCCATTACTCTTCAGTGACAGTCCATGATGAGCTCCGACTGTTTTCATAATTTAATTTCAGGCTGTTCTACACTTGGCCTTAGTCTTCTAATTAATGACCTTAAGTAAATATGTCTCCAAACAGACCCAGCCATCTGAATTTTGGTCTTAATTCTTTTTCAAGTGTTTATTGGCTCATGCACGAATTTTTTTTTTTTTTCGGGGATTCAAATTAGGTGACCAGTATATCTTAATCTTTGGGTGCTGATGCAATTTATGTCTGGATAAGCATATGCCCTGTAGAATTCTGCACTGGTTCTTCTTCCCCAGATGCCATTTACTGAACAAAATACTTGACAGAACTAATTATTCTTCAGGCTCCATTTCAGATGAAGAATAATCAAGTACATTTGATATTATTGAAATTTTAATAAATGTAATACTGAATCTATTAGTATCTGCCAGAAGAATTAGTATTCCCATCAATCTGAAAAATGTAATAAATATTGTTTTTACACATACAGTTAGATGTTTGTTAATGGACAACCTATTTTAAAGGAACATTCTCTTTTAATGATTTCCAGACACTTTAATGTACAGTGCAATCTCAGTTATGAATTTAATTTGTTCTTGAAGGCCTTTCATCGTTCAAAAGGCTCATTAGCTGAAATTACTTTTTCCATACAAATTAATGTTCCTGGATCACAGATTATCACTTATATTAAATTTACAGCATTATTTTGTGCATACGTTCATAACACACACACAAACAAACAAAATTCTGAAAGTTTTCAGAGTTTAAAATATGGCCAAAGAGGCATTTTTTTTAAACATTTTGTGTGTTACCTTTATTTATTAAATATCATGTTCTATGAACTCAAACTATAAAATTCAGTTTAACAGCAATATGACATACTAATTTTAAAATGAGGATATCTTTAGAATTTCTGATACAGAGTCTCGCAGGCTGGAGATAAAAATGTTTTTTTTTAGTACAGTGTTGTCATTGTTCGCTTTGAAATCGTTCAGATTTTTAATAAAAAATTCGTTGAAGTGTTGCAAAATATGAAATCGATAATTAAAAAAATTTCAAATTCAAATTAGGGCTTCCACATGCCCATATTCTGTGGAAGATTATGTTATTCAAATTTTGATTGCACTAGGTACCGTTGTTTTATCGCAATGCGAGAAACATAATACACTTATCCAGATTCTTTATTATTTAATTTCTTTAAATATAAGACAGGGTGATAATATATGGTGGCAAGAATTTGAAAAGTGATATAGCCTTTTAAAGTTCAATGCAAAATGCCAAAATGAAATTAATAGTCCTTCAGGGCAAATTGCCCCTTTAGACTAAAAATAACTGAAATCATTAAATCAAGACCAAAAAGAAAAGTTAAACATATCATTAAAGAAATAAAATAGATGAAAATTTCATTTCATTTTATGTTTTTCCAAAGAAGAGTGGTGGCATAAATGAAGAGTGATGTCAATGTTTAGAATAGAAATCCTCTTTCATAAAAACATCATGTTTCTGGGGCATCATCTTTCATTTATATATATATTTTTAATCACTTAGTGACATTTCCAAAGTTTTATTTTTTCTCAATAAAAATTGCTCGAAAGAACATTGAAACTTAACATTCATCAGTAAATTTGAAATATGCAACCAGTCATATTCATATGCTATTTTTTTCAAACCTTAAACAAAATTAGAGATACAACATATTTTTTGTGTTTTAAATGAATTGAGTAACAATTATTTCCAACTTTTACAGTAAGATTTAACCCCTTTTCTTCAGTGCAACATAATATTTTAAGTTATCATTTTACAACTTGGAGTTACTAGCTTTTTTTTTTTTTTTTTTTTTTTTACAAACTATTGTTCTAATTTCATTCTACACTTAAAATGTTTTTTCCCCTCAGGCATGGCTGTTGAAGATGTTGTTACTGCAGAACTTGTTTACCAGATCTTACAGAAAAGGAATTTCTGAAATTTTTGCTTTTTTTGAAGCTAATAAATTCTGTGGAATAATATCATCTGTTAATCTATATTATAAAGAAAGTCTGTGTGTTTGTTTGTTCGCTAATAACTTAGCCACTAATATAGCTATTACCACCAAATTTTCTATGTCCTGGAAAAGGTCAAGAATAAAATAAATAAATAAAATAAAATAAAATAATAATTAAAAACTCTGAAAGTAATTTTCGCCCTCATTTTTCCGAGTGGCAACCAGTCTTGCATGCTACAGATAAAAATCTGCTATCGTAGAGTTTGTTAATAAAAAATTTCCAAGTTTTACAATGAAATAAAAATAGCATTGTCAAACATTAACTTCCTTATTCCCAATTCCAAAAATTCATTGGAAACCATTTCTGTTCCCATCTTTGTAAGACTCCAAGATATTAATTAAAAACTCTGAAAACACTAAACTTTGCACTCATCTTTCCGAGTGGCAACTTTCTGGCCCGTTGGAGATAAAAATGCTTTATTTCTTCGAAAAGTGTTGCTATTGTAGCTTTCAAATCATAATTTCTTAATAAAAAATTTCCAATTTTTACAATATACCGGGTGGCCATAATTAAACTGACAGTGCTCACAGTGTTCTGTAGCGCGATCTATTTGTGAGAATGACGTCACATTTTGTAGGAAGATTAAACAAGACGAGGGACGAAGGATTCAGCGAAAAAACAAATTAGTTCCAAAAGTCACTGCTAGGGGAATATTTGGTGCTGTGTAATAGAAAATAGAGTGTTAACAAATGCAAATTAATACGGAATAAAATTAACTTTTATTATGCACATTTTCTGATTTAGTTCAAGTGCAATATGGCAACACTTTTAAAAAAGCGTAAAATCTACATAAACACCGATAAAGTCTCGTGATCTGCAATATCACGTACGCTGAGCAGAAGAAGTTCTTTATTCAAATTTCACGTTACGTCCATTCGCACAGTGCCAGGCTGCTTGGGTTTTAAAAGGCAGTGTGTTACGTTTCAAAACAATCGGATTGAAAAGTAATGTGCAATGTCTCCTTCTTAGTCGAGTGTGCAATACTGGTCAAATTCTTTTACCTCAACCAGTTATACACGTCAGTCGCTCTTCGCGCTTTTAGAACGCACAAAAAAATGCGTAAAGGTAACGGGTCCTGTGTCAGTTAATGGGCTAAAAGCAATGGTTGCGACATTTGAGAAAACAGGTTCTCTGAAGGTTCAGTCAGGCAGAGGACGAAAACCTGTACCACAGGATACAATCGAAGCAGTTGCCACGGTGATTGTCGACAGAGGACCAGACAATATTGCTGCCACCTCTAGCGCTCGTGGAGTAGCTCGGAATATGGATATGCCTTACAGTACGGTATGGAAAATCTTACGAAAGATTATCAACTTCTATCCGTACAAGATCAGCCGTGTACAGGAGTTACTGTACCCCGACCATGATAAGCGATTGACTTTTGCTCTCACCTTTCTTGCCAGAATGGAGGTGGATGATGCTTGGCCGTGGAAAATCTTATGGGGAGATGAGGCCCCCTTTTACCTGAATGGAACTGTGAATACCCAGAGCTGCCGAATTTGGGATGACAAATCACCACATGCAGTCACAGCAATTCCCTTACATTCACCAAAGTTAACTGTTTGGTGTGAGTTCACAGCAGAATTTATCGTAGGTCCATTCTTCTACGAGAATATTACCTCGACAGGACCGGAAACTTCTTCTGTTACCGGAGAGAAATATCGCCACATGTTGAACAGCTTTGTCATTCCTTCACTTCAGCAAAGACAATGCCTTGGGGAAAAATTTTGATGCAAGATGGAACCCCTCCACATGTTGCTGTACGGGCGCAACAGATGCTACGACAGAAATGCAAAACAGAAAGATTCATTAGTCAACTGCGTGGCCACCTCGGTCACCTGATCTTACCCAATGCGACTTCTGGCTATGGGGTTACCTTAAGTCCAAGGTCTATCAAGGAATGTTCCAGGACCTGGCTACGTTGAAGGATAACACATTACGGAATGTATGGGAGATTCCTGCACACATGTTACTTTCTGCTGTTGTGCACAGAATGCAATATGTGGTCCACAACAACGGCAGCCACACTGAACCTCATTTGAATGCAAAATAAAAGGTAATTTCCGTATTGATTTGCATTTGTTAACACTCTATTTTCTATTACACAGCGCCAAATATTCCCCTAGCGGTGACTTTTGGAACTAATTTGTTTTTTCACGGAATCCTTCGTCCCACATCTTGTTTAATCTTCCTACAAAATGTGGCGTCATTCTCGCAAATAGATCGCGCTACAGAACACTGTGAGCACTGTCAGTTTAATTATGGCCATCTGGTATATATAAAGAAAAATGCCTGTGTGTTTGATTTCTGATGAATTTTTTACCACAAAATTAAATATTGGATGGAAAATGAGCTTCCACCCACACAAAAAGTTTTACCATTTGATTATAAAGACGAAAATCATTAAAAACTGCGTGTAATTTTTGCTGATGTAATGAGAAAGAATTAGTTTATTTTTCTATCAAAATTTTTTATGTGGGTTCCATATCGCATCAGACTGAAAAATATGACTATGAAATCTATTTTTTGCATCATTATTAGAGAAGGATTACACAGGTATTGGTCTGTTGTTAGATAAATTACTCTCAATCTAACTTAAATGGCATCGGGTCTTTTTGCTAGTCATAAATACAAAGCTGTTTCAAAATCTCAAAAACAGTTGCCTTTTATTAATTGAAAAATCACTAGCTATAATGCATGTATTCGTGCTTTCCATTATTAATAGAATTAGTGATTATATCAGTAGCTTAAAAATTAACATTTCCATACTTTTTGATGAAGCATAAAACCAGGTACCAGCATAAAAGTGTCATTGACTGGTGTGAGGAATTCACAAAAGCATTTTATAATACAACCTATTAAAAAAAATTGAATAAGTGCAGCAGGAAAAAAGCCTTGCTTAATATTCAACTTAGTTGTAATTACAACATCCCTTAGAAAATAAGATATTTGCATGAAAGAAGGAGTGTCAGGAAATTCAAATAGGAACTGAATTTCAGTTAGGACAAAGAATGAAATGAAGATCACTCTCTTTGCTTATGAATTCAGTGAGAGTATTTTTAATTGTTAAGTTTCCTGGAAAGCTCTTAAATTTCCAGCTATGTGATCCATTTGTGAATGTTTTGTACTCACATATTGTAGATACACAATACTACTGAAGATTCGACTCCCAGATAAACCATAGTAGTTCTAGAGATAACATCCATGATTAACCCAAAATCATGGTTAATCTAACAGCAGTTAAAAAAAGATACAGGACAAACCTATAATAATTAAAAAAATACTATTAATATTTACCTGTATTTTTAAGCAATTTAACCTGGAAAATAAATTTATTTGGTTATGTGAATTACACAAGCATTCAGAACAAGAACAGGAAGGGAAGGGAAAAAAACATTTACATTTCAATAAAAGCAAAACACAAAACAGAAGGCTTAAACATGATTTAACTGGATTCCAGAACATGTATAATTACATTATACTATTATGGATAAACAATTCCTAAATTCTGTGACTTCAGCTGCTATCTACTGCATTTTCAGTTTTTTTTTTTTTTATTTATTTATTCTGATGATTGTTTTGCAAAAAACAAACTTGGCCTTTCCCACAAAGTCCAATTAAGTGATTACCCCTTATGAGTTTACTTCAGGTTCCACACTTGTTTACTCGGCTGGAAATTTCTGCTCTTGATAAATTGTATCACTAACAAATCATCAGCATTTAGCCCCTTAACCCCCCTTTTAAATTTTAAACGTGATAATTAATACACTATTATTTTAATAATTTTTTCCTCTGATAGATCCCATTTTGCATTTACTTGTTTCTCATCAGAAAAATAAATGCAAAATCGGAGCAAAAATAAATGGATTTGCTTTTTTACTTATGAAAATTCTAATGGAATGTTATGTAATAAATGAGAAATTCTCAAATTGCAATTACAATACAAATTAAGAAAATTTAAAAATTGGTTTTATTACAGTTACTTTTTTTAAAATACTTTTTTTTTTATTGCTACCACTAGTTTGAATTAAGTTTTAAAATTCCTTTGAGATTTTAAAAAGTTTTTTTGATTAACAAATGCAAGACATGCAGTTCTAAAAATATGAAACTGTTTTTCAAGTGGCAAAATATTTCATTTTAAAGATGGAAATTGGATCAGTTTTTTTTTAAATCAAGATTTCCACATTAGTTTGAAACCGACATAATTGTACAAGTATGTAATGAATATTAAGTGCAAATGAACTACAACTTTGACTTTCTACAGAAAGTGTGAATGTTTTCGTAACAGATATAACTGAATCTATGTGAAAGTATACAGAATAATTTCACTATTTATAAATAAATAAAATGCAATCTTTTTAGAAAACAATTTATTTTTTAATTACATTTTAATTATTTTATGTATACCTACAAGATAATTCAATTTGTTTAAAGAACAGATGTAAGCATAAAGAATTTAATAAAATCACTCTTAAGTACAGTGATGGCTTTAAAGTACAGCTGGTTACCCTTTAGTTCCTATTTGAAACCATATGATTGACACAAAAAAGATGAAAGTAAACACTACCTTTAAAAGCATGTCATGCACAGAAAGCAATAAACCAAATGTTAAATCATACTGTACAAACTGTATTTAAAAATACTTCAGCATCAAATTCTCAACAATAATTACCATTTCAGAAAAGAATAAAAATTAATAATTTTATTTCATGAAGTCAGCTAAACAAGAATATATTTGATAGCATGACATACTTTTAAGCTTTTGTGAACATAACAAGTATAAAATTAAACAAAATTAACAACCAGATGTATCTTATTTTCTTGGCTTGGATGTATTAAAGCCATTCTAAAAGAAATCATTATATAAATATACAGGACATTATAAACTGATGCAATTAAAACTCATCCAAAATTTCAATGAAGGGAATTTTCATAAAATTAGTTTTTCTATGACCAATAAGTAGGGTATGTTCATATTGTTTTCAAAAGTGAGGAAATTTTTCTTCTACTGATTTGACATGATAATATCCTAAATATAACAAATTTATACAATTTGTAATTTGAAATAACTGGATACATATAACTCAACAATATAGAAATAACAGAACTGATGCATTTAGAGGTAAATGAAGTATAAAAAAAATATACATTTTGCATCACCTGAACATCTTGCAAAGCATCTTTTGTGAGTGGAGTGAAACTCATACAATATTTTTTAAATTCATAAATTATAAAACTATCCCTACTGATTGGTCATCTTGGCAATATTCTGTGACCTCTGTCTTCTCTCATGATGGTCACAGTCTTCTCTTTAGTCAATCAACTAGAAGATAATCAACAATGCCAAGGAAGAGAATTGTTTTCTTCCATGAGGCAGCACCAATAGGGGAAGAATGGAGTTCTCCAAGCGAAGTTTTTCCCAGTTATACAACTGGTTAAATATCACACTACATTTCACTTGGTAGCATATCTCCCAAAGTCTAAAAAAAGTAAAAATTAAAATCTTCTCAGTTAAAAATATCAAACACTATAATTTAATAAGAAAATATAAATTTTGTCATCTACAAAAATTCGACATAGCAGGAAGATCCATATTAAATGTTAATATTAGGGGTAGAATTAATTGATGTCAAATCTGCAACATAATGATATTTAGCTAGCTGCTGGTATACTGTTGATATTTTATTTATTTTGCTTTATATTTTGAAATCTTAATTTTTTTAACCAGATGTCTAAAAACTAAAATAACTATCTTCATTTGTTATGAAAATAGAAATGAAATAATTTCATCTTGATTCAAAATACTCCACAGGGTTCAATGGCTTACTTCTTTTTGCATCTTTTAATACTATTGCCCAACTTCAAAAACTACAGTCAAAAGTCGTTAATGCGGTCTCGTCGGGACTTCGGCTATTCCGGATTATTGATTTTTCCCAATTATAGATCATCAATTTAAATCTGGTATGATGGCATGCAGAAATTATAAAATTAAAAATATGAAACCATAATTTATAAAATAAAGAACAATTATGATCTAAAGGGTATCAAAATTTACAAAAAAAAAAAAAAAAAAAAAAAAAAAAAAAAAAAAAAAAGCTTAATATTTATTTGTTTACTTTATTAAACATTTCTTTCAATGTAAGTTCTTTAAGTCACTTCGTTTTATGTGATAATACTTTCTCTTTAATTCTATAAACACATAATTTCTTGTTTAGTTACAAAGTTCCGCTGTTCAAGTCCCATAATTGCTGTGCCGAGAATACCGACTAACTTGTCAATCGAAATTTTTTCGTTTTCACTAACCTCTCTGTCACGTTCTTCATGTCTTTATCCATTTTTTGCAGCAATTCCACTTTTTGTTTGATGGACATCAAAACATACTTTCGTTTTGTAGATCCTTTGGGAGCTCCAGCATCGGAAATTCTGTTAGACATAATCGAAAGTTCAAGTTTACTTTTATAACATTGCTCTTACAGTCTGCAAAAAATAATAAGCCGCATCCAATTCGAAGATTAAGGAACAACACAATCATCAACATGAACTGAAATAGATAATTTTAGCTTATACCCGTCCGTTATACATTAAACACGCACGCGAAAACGTATTCTGCGCTTGCGCACACGCATATACGCAGTCTTACGTGCACGCGTAAATAAATGCCTATGTGCATGTGTCAACGTGGCGCACGCGCAGAAAGTTTTTAGCTTTGAGGTCCGGATTACGGGTGTCCGAATTAACGACTTTTGACTATATTGAAACAAGGGTGCTTATTGTAAAGATCCATTCAGCAGTCGGTGATGAGAATACTAATGTAACCATGAGTTTTTATATAGTTAATGGAATTATTAAATTTAGTGATTGCTATCTAATGTGGGTATCACAAGTTGGGGTCACTGTCTAATGTGCATCTAAAAACAATTTTGCTACGATTTGATTTAGGGTGTTTTAAATGAATTTAATAATCATAGAATTTTATTACTTGAATCATCAAATATAATGGAAAAAATCTTTTAAATGTATTTCAATATAAAACTTTTCTGTCTACGTACTTTTTATGAACTTTTCTAATATTTTTGTGTTTTAGACAAAAATAGTTTTTTTTTGTCCCATTACAAAGAATGGATATAGTGCTAATTAAAGAAACAATTACTAAGTGATCACTCAAGTTGTTTTTATCTGAAACATTCATGTTTTAATAGGATAAGATTTGTTTAAAGTAATGTTGAAATTCATAAACGAAAATTCTCAAGCCTACTAATGTATTATTTCTATCTTTACATGCTAGTAAATATAATGAAGTTCCAAGTGTTACAAGGAATCAATGGTTACTATTTAAAACTGTTTACATTTATTTGGATCTTTGAAAGACATAACTAAAAACTAAGATTCATCAAAATCAGCAATTTCATAAGGTACTTATTTGGTATTGTACTCACAAATATTTTTAGTTAAACTTCATTCCTTCAACAAAATCTAAAAATAATTAAAATTGTAACCAATCCTTTAATATAAACTGTTGGACTAACTGTAACAACATGGGTGCCCTCTAGTGTAGTGATGGGCAACTTCGGTACATTCTTGTACCCGGTACGAGAGTAACGGTACAGACAAGTACCTGGTACAAAATACTCATTACTCAAGTAACTGTTACTTTGAAAAGTACCGAAAACCGATTTAAAGTACGAGTATCCAAGTAATGATTTGGAGTACCGAAGTAACGAAATACCGGAGTAACGGTTTGCTGTACCGGAGTACCCTGGTAACCTGTTTACTGTACCGGAGTACCCTAGTAACAATTTGGAGTACCGAAGTGCCCTAGTAACGATTTGGAGTACCGAAATACGCAGCTAACGATTTTATGCACGAAGGAACTCTACCACGTCACCACGTGTTTGATTTTATCTGTACGGAGTAAGATTTTGAATATCAGAAAACATGTCAACTACGGAAATGTCTGAGGAGCAGACCATTTCATGGACACAAGGAGCGCATATCACCATTTCGTAAGGATCTCATTATTTCACAAACACGGTGGTCCTCAGATTATTGACCACAAGCTATCCATTTCAAGTCCTTTTGCATAATATATACCATGTGCATATAAAATTGCTATAAAAGCATTCTTCTATTGTTATATTCCATTTATTTTCCTGAATCTGTCGATGAGCTTCATCTTCAGGGCATTTCTTTATATGCTTCAATATCCATTATCAAGTCTCCAGGCACTTGACGAACCATTGTTTATAGCATTGCATTTAGAATATGGTGTTGAGCCCTCAACTTCCTTCAAAACATTTTGCTTCAATTTTCTTTCTTTATCATTTGTTCCTAATTGTGCAACATTTCAAACTTCATTATTTTTAACTTTGAATGTCACTGCTAATTTTTTTTAGGATTTCCTTGAGTGCAAGCATCTTTTCTTAGAATTTTTGATTTTTCCTATTTATCTGATAAATTATCAATAATATTGCGGTGCGAAGGTCCAGCGATTGTTAGGGTACTCCCAGAGTCATCATCACTTTCATTTTCTCCATCTGAATTCAGATTTTCGTCATTATCAGGCAGGTATTCATCCTCGCTACTCAAAATCGAAGTATTGTCATAAGTATTCCGAAGCTTCCTGAACAGTCCTGGACGACGTTGTGTCATCTTATCTGTCCTTATACTAAATATAGAATAAAAGCAACTTTAAAGAATCTTTTGAAATATTTGTTATAATTTTCCGCTGCATTTGAACCATACATTTTGACCTTGACTGAAAACCTACACTATTTCCCTTTTGGTGCAGTCCATTTGAAGAATTCGTGGGTGAAGCAGATGTACTCTACAGTTACTTCTGACAAAATGCATCTGTTTTTTGTCATTTAGGCATAAACATTTCTCACGGATCAAAATGTCCCATTTCGTGGTTCTAGGTATAAGTGTTAATGATCAGAAATTTGTTTACGCTACACCAGATTATTACTACACATTTCCAGATTCTGTAAGTTGCTGTTTATCTTAAATTATTAAGTCATACAAGGAATTTTTTTTCAATTAATACTTTTTGTGCGGTGACAAATTAAACATCGGTTTGTGTCAAATTGACCTGCTCTGCCGTTTTAGTGTTAATCCAAAAAGTGATGACATGAGCCTTTTTTTCACTTTATTTGAAAGGCAACTAACAATTTTGAACATACCTCAAAGGAAATGGGTAATGTATTTCTTAGGTTTGTTACCTAATGACATTGCAAAATTGATTGCAAAGGAATCTAATGGTGATGCACAAGATTATGACAACATCAACCAAATTCTCTTAGCATTTTAAATTAAGTGCTGAAAAGTTTCGACAGTTATTTTCGAAACGTGTCAAAACTCCTGATAGTACATGGCGAGATTTTTACTTCGAGAAATTTTTTTGATGGCTGGATTGGCAAATTAAAAGTCAATACTTTTGAGAAGTTAAAGGATTTGATGATATCGGAACAAATTAAAAGATGGTCCCTTTCTGAGTATAGAGAACATTTTGTGGATCATTGGTTCAAGTGGACTGAAAATTGAAGCAATATCAAAAATTAATTTTAAAATGAGCATATCTTTAGAATTTCCGCTACATATACAAAGTCTCGCACGATGGAGATAAAAAATGTTTTTTCGTATAGTGTTGTCATTGCTTGCTTTGAAATAGTCTAGTTTTTTAATCGAAAATTCGTTGAAGTGTTACAAAATCTGAAATCGATAAAAAAAAAAACTTCAAATTCAAATTAGGGCTTCCACATGCCCATATTCTATGGAAGATTACGTTATTCAAATTTTGATGGCTCCAGGTACCATTGTTTTATCATAATGCGAGAAACATACATACATTTATGCAGATTCTTCATTATTTATTTCTTTAAATAAAAGACAGGGTGATAATATATGGTGGCAACGAATTTAAAAGTGATACAGCCCTTTAAAGTTTTCAACAAAATGCCAAAACGAAATTAACAGTTCTTCAGGGCAAATTGCCTCAAATTGTTAAAAAATTGCCTCAAATTGGGCTAAACATAACCCTCAAATTGTTAAAAACTTAGCGAAAAAGAATTTCGGTACGAGAGAAGATCGACTAACTGTTAGCTGTTATCATTGTCAAAAATCGGGTGTCGTTTAGGCCAACTGTCCAACTTGCTCTCCTTCTTTAAGTAAAGAATCAGCCTACTTCAAAGCTATAAACATATATATTGTCTGTAGAGACACCTTACACGACTCTTTTAAGGGTAAAAAATCAACGGATTTAAGGGAATTGTCTGTGCTGATACTGGAGCCAGCCACATTATAGCGGGAGAAACGTTATATCGTCTATTGAAAGAAAGAGGAATAAATTTAGGAAAACTAGTATGAATGTTACCCTAGCTGATGGTCTCCAGAAGTGTATACAACACAAGTAGATATTTGACATAATTCAAAATTGAAGGACGATCTTTCCCTATAACTTTATTTGCATTACTTACAGCAAAAGATAACCGAACGCTTTTAGGAACTGAACTTTTATGTAACGCTGGAATTGTTTTAGACCTTCCAAATAATAGAAAGTATTTCCATAATGACCCTAAACAGAAATTTAGCTTTAGTGGCGACGTTTTCAAATCACCCCAGCGTCCAGAAAGTAATGCGGAATTTCAATACGATGCGATTAAGAGAAAATGAAAGAAGACATCTAATGAAAAACAAAGGGAAAAACTCAATGCTGTATTAACGAAATATGAAACTGGGTTTCAACCAGCGGGAGAAGCAACTCTTATACTAAACACCACATACATACAGGGGATAATCCTCTACACCTCCATACTGGATGTCTCCAGCCAAGAAGGAGATGCCCAAACCAAACGGAAAAGTCCGACTTTGCATTGATTACCGAGGAGTGAATACTGTTATGATGTCAGACTCACATCCATTACCTAGGATGGATGACTTACTGCATGCTGCTAAACATACACTATATATGACAAACACTGATCCACAGTCTGAGTACCATCAAGTCAGCATTTGTCCTACAGACAGAGACAAAACAGTATTTGTTTGCCCTTTTGGAACTTTTCAGTTAATGAATCAAGGGATTTTATATCACTATTCCCCAGACTCTGAATCAGAGGAAGCTCAACTAGTAGTACCAATACATTCATAAGAAAGAATTCTTAAACAATATCATGATGCTCCTACAGCACGACATTAACTAGCTAAGGGAACATACCACAGAATTTACTAGAGGTATTATTTCACAGGAATGCGCAAATACATTGAAAATTACATAAAAAGTTGTGACGAGTATAACTGTTACAAACCTTCAAATCAAAAGCCATCCGGTATACTCCACCAATATATGGCCAATGCTTCGAAACACTTGCCATCAATATACATGGTCCACTACCTAAGAGTAACAATGGAAAAAAGTGGATTTTGATTGTTGAAGATTGCAACACGAAATGGGTGAATCTTTTCGCTTTACCCTCTGCTACGGCAAAGGAATGTGCCATTACATTAATCGAAGAAGTTTTCTTATGATATGGATTCCCCAGGAAGCTAACCAGTGATAATGCAACTCAGTTTATTAGCGCTGTCATGCAGCAAGTGTGCTTTCTTCTTAATATTAATTAAGTGTTTAAAATACACATGTATCAGATGTATAGATTCTTACCTTTAAATTCCAAATAACCATCTTTCCATCCATTCCAGTAGTACATAATTTAGTTACACCCAATTTGGTCCCTGCATAAATTGTTAAACTTGTTATGGCATTTTGATGTATAGTGTCTAATAATGTATCAACACTGTTTTCTACTATGGCACGTTTATCCATGTCTCGAAATTTCCTCATAGCACTGAAAAAGAAAATAGAATTTTGATTACAATAAATGTAACAATAAATAAATAAATAAAATACAAAAGAAACATAAAACTTGGTCATTTTATTCTGAATGCTAAGATTTAGCATTTTCACTCTCATCCTAACAATTGCTTTCAATCATGGTTAACTCTACAGCAAGTAACACATTTGGAGGGGGGAACTTGCTATTAATTTATATCTTCAAATAAATACCTATGGCTAATTATATTTTAGTAAGTTAACTCATTTTTCATTCTAAATATTATAATTAAACCCCTTAAATGCATGTTTTTTACAGTAAAATGGCCCATAATAATAATAATTGAAAACTGAAGACATAAAACTTGATTCCCCCCTTTTCTATTTGAAAACAATCATGTAAGCTTTTTAGCAATTTACTGATTAGTTTATGAAAACATAACAGCAAGTGCTCAAACTGCAAGTTAACATATTTCAGCGAAGTAAATTATAAAATCACCCAAGTTATATTTGAGCATGAGTAAATCTGTCAGTTACCAGTGAATAATACGGTTATAACCACACAGAGCAAAATTTCACTATACATGTTTTCTCAGATAGAAAATATTTGTTTTTATAATGAATTTATTAGAAATGTACCATAAATTCTTAATAAACAAACATGTATTTTATACATAATCAAAAGTTTCAAAGAATTCTAAGGGAAATTTACAATCCTATAGCTAATAATAAAATGATATAGAAATGTTATGAATGAGAAAGTTAAAGAATGGCATGTCAAGCAATATTGTTTTTGACAATTTTACTGAAATGCTTCAGTTTTAATCAATGATAATAAAGAATGACATATAAAACAGCATTATTTTTGACTTGCTTCAGGTCGACCTGAAGCAAGTCAAAAATAATCCATGACGATAAAGCTACTAAATTAAGTGAGACATTGATTTGAATCAGGGTTGGCTACATTTTTATAAGAACAAAAGTATTTTCAGTAATCTAGAAATATATTTACACATCATAATCTTGAAATAAATTTATGTATATTATTTAACATAAAACACCAGTCATGCTTCATTACTAAAATGCTAATGTTACGAAGACATGCAACACTGTTGACATCACATTTTTGCATAACTGCCTGGACTCAAATTAGCATTATCATGTGATGCAATTTGTATCTAATGATGATATTTATGACTGAACATAAATCAGATTTCACACAGCAGATTTTCTAGGCAAAAAGAAACTAAATTCACTCTTTAACAGAGTACCGATGATAATTGTTCATGCAGCATGCATAAAATATGAAAATCAAACTTTACTAATTTGAAAAATTGTACTTGTCTATTATCCAAACAAAAATTATTATGTCATCATATCTACCAATACTGTTCAGAGATCAAAAGTTTCCTACATAGTAATTCTTAAAAAATAAAAACATGGGGGAAAATGAAATGCCAATCACACAATAGTAGAGTGGAATACAATGACATTCAGTAACTTTTAAGTCAAAGTTTGGTGTAATTACAAAATGCAGTTAGATGACTGCATCATATTTGGGAAGTATAAAAAGAAAAGCATATACACTAGTTGTCATCATTTTAATTTCTTAGAGGATGTTAGATGTCATCAGCCAAAGACAAGAATCAAACATCACTTGGAATCATGTTTTTGAGGGAAAAAAGAAAATATCGATAAATAGTTAAGAATAAAAAGTTACAGATTATGTCAGCACTATCAAAAGGTAGACTGCCATATTTAGACAATAGAAAGTATCATTAACAGATGATCCCAGGTAAGAGCACAGAAATTTGTGCTATCATGAATTAATATGTGATGGAAAACAGTAACAGCTTGTGAGTAATATGTGATGAAATAATTGAGCGTTTCTCAGATTGCTACAGAAATGGGTATTAACATTGGATTCATGGAAAAAAATACTGCATGAAAAAGTGGGAAAGTCGAAAGTTTGCAAAGACTGATATGCAAAATGTTTATAGCAGAAATAATGAAATATTGGCTTGAATGTTCTCAAATATTGCTCTCTGTGATAAACACCAGTTAAAAATTTATTCACTGCAACTGACAAGGAATAAAACGATCCAGAAATGAAATAAGATAACATGGTCAGGATGTAAATTTTCAGAAGTCTCCAAATTTAGATCCCAGAAATCTACACAGAAGCACTACACTTTTGAGCACTACTGCTCATGATTATATGTCATTAAGTTAACCTGTTAACTACAACAAGCTATAAAAGTCTGTTGCAGCAAAAAGTGCAATAGTGTTACTTTTGCAAATCAATACCTCAATATAATATTCAATACTTCAGCTGTGATGTACTGTAGTTCATCACTGTACTGTAGTACATCACTTCAGAAATGCAGATTTCAGCTTCTACCCATCACCATATTTGCTAGTCCTAACCTCCACGTAATTTTTCATTTTAAAGACTAAAATACAAGCATTTGCATGATTTAGAGTAGGGGTCTTCAACACGTGCCCTGCGGGTCACGAATGGCCTGCTGAAGGCATTTTGGTGGCCCCACATTTGAATTTGAAGAATATTAAGAAATTTTCATTTCAAGAAAAATTTCTTTGTCAGCTTTTTTATGGTAAATTTTTTTTTCTCTTATTAATGATATTAAAACATTTTATTGACATGCCTGATAATATTTTAGATAAAATTCTCTGAAAAATGATAAATGTTTAAAAAATTTTACATTTAATTCGATTTTGATTTGACTTTTTGGAACCAATGTATATATACATATCTGTAACACTATCTCTTCGCTTAGAATCAATTGTATTCTTGCAAAACAAACCTATCTTTTTTATATAAATTTTATGACTACACTTTTTTGACAGACATGTGGCCCTTTTTGTGAATTTAGTGATGTGGCCCTCGAGCGTGAAAGGTTGAAGACCTTTAATTTAGAGCATAGTCACAATGACTTGCATGGATATTGCTCGAGAATGTTTGAAGATTGCAAACCCTTTTTTTTTTTTTTTTTTCCCCCAGTCCAATACTTTACAAATCACCATGCTAAGTACACTGAAGTCAAAGGGAGAAAACCGAGAAAGAAATGTTAGAGAATTATCTTGTACATGTGTGTTAGAAATAAAACTTACTGAAAGTCTTTATAGTTATAAGCATGAAATTTGTGACAAAGGAAAATAAGCAGTAGATCAAAATACATGTGAAACATGTGCTCCATCATTCATCCTCTGAGTGATACAGCTTTTTGGATCTGCCTATTAAAAAAAACTATTTAAAAAGCTTTTTTTTTGGGGGGGGGGCTAAATTTGTATAATTATAGTATGTTTTCATAAATTCATTCATTAATATAATATTTTGATCATTAAGTAGGAAAATGCAATATTTTAAATAATAATCTCATGGGTGGCTAAAGGCAACCAATCATGCAACTAATAGTAAAAAGGATTTTTTTTTTTAAATTTTTTTTTATTTACTATGCATTTGGCATTTTCAAACAGGCTAATAAGCCCTTCCTATCCTTACCTAACCAAATTTTTGAACTGAAGAATCTATAATGCATTCAAAATTTTGAAAAGCTACAAAACCGAGCTAAAATAACCTAATTTGAGTTACCTCAGAATTATAATAAATACAGTTTCTTAGGTCAACACATCAACTATCAATGAAATACAATTCTTATGCTATACTTGATGATTTACCCTATCTTTTGTTTTTAGGACAAATGAAATCATTTTGCACCCAGCTACTACACAATACCCCCAAAATAATAAAATATTACCAACCATTTACAAATGCCCCCAAATGACATATATGAGTTACAATCTTTTACTCTACACACAGCCTATGCATTTTATAAAATAAGACTATTTTGAAGAAATTTTGTAAATGTGATAAATTTACCAGTTTCTTTGAAAGAGAGATTTGTACTGACTAAGACATAAATTTTAATATAAATAACTTACTGTCTATATAACAACATTCTCAACCCAACATTAATCAATATGTTACTATTTATCAACATGTTAAAACAAGTTATATAAGTTGTATCAAAAGTTTCATAAGAGATGTATGGAAAAGAAAGGGAGGAACCCAATGATTTCATTACGGCAAGCTAATAACTGTGCCTTGTATTTTGATCTAACATTGCTAAAAGAAAACTGATATTTATATGAACGCAGTGAACTTATAACATGATATAATATGAAACTTCTTTTCAATTTACAAAAAACAAAATCTAATAATTTAAGTCTACAAGTTAACAAAATTTCTAAAAAATATAATTGGAATTTTTTTTTAAATTTTAAACTGACAGTTTATTGAAAAAATAAGCATTTTAAAATAGTACCTCTTTAACTGGATGCTTAAAACCAGAAATGCTGTAAGTAATGAACAAAATTACCTTTTGAAATATGCAATAAGAACAAATGTAAAATACTGAGCTCAAGAATATGCAAAAGGTAAATATATTATGTATTCTAAAACTCTTTCTTTCCAAAAGTAACGAAATAATCTCCCTCTCAACATAAAAATTTTCCATATTTTAGCAGCAGTAACAACTTTTTCACGAACATTACAACATATACATTACCATTGAAAATCAAAACCGATACAGTATATTAGGATGAAAAATCACAAAATAATTTCAATAAACATTAAGTTAAAAAATAAAAATTATATAACATACCTAAAGCCATCAACTTCTCTTTTTTGGGATTTATCTAATTTTGTAACAAAATTCAGACGACCTCCTTCATATCGGAAGAGCACAGGGAAGCAATCATGACCCTAAGATAGAATACAATTTTAATATTTTGGAAGAAAAAAAAAGAATTAAGAGGCTTTAAATATAAGTAAACAATGCATTCAAATATAGCATTTGTAAGAGTTCAGTTATTGAACTGAATCCGAGTAATGCAGAAGCATGAAAATTATTGCACTGCATTTGCATTCATCAATATTTTATATCAGCAAATACACATACATTAATTAAAAAAAAAAAAAACTTGAAATCAAAATACTCATACATAAAAAAATTCTAATGCTCCTTAAAACATATTACAGTCAAAAGTCGTTAATTCGGACACCCATAATTCGGAATGATCTATAATCCGGACATCAAAACTAAAAACTTTCTGCGCATGCGCCACGTTGACACATGCGCAGGGGCGTTACGCGTAAGACCTTTACGCTGCGAATATGAGTGTGCGCAAGTGCAGAATACGTTTTCGCGTGCGCGTTTTATGTATAACGGACGGTATAAGCTAAAATTATCTAATTATCTATTTCAGTTAATGTTGCAGATTGCGTTGTTCCTTAATCTTCGAATTGGATCCGGCTTATTATTTTTTGCAGACTGTAGAGCAATTTTATAAAAGTAAGCTTTAAACTTTCGATTATGTCAAATAGAATTTCCGATATATATTTGTTAATATGTAAAGGATCTACAAAGCGAAAGTATGTTTTGAAATCCGAAATCTGTTTATCAATTTCACGCTGCTCGGCGGCGGGCGCGCAATGAATTGGAAGTTGATCTGTCAGCACTATCCTTATCTTCAGGCAGATGTTTTTATTTTATTTGGCTTATAATTCCTTACCAAATGTAGTATTTCATCTCGATATGCTCCGTCTTTGATATGATTTAAAACAAGTTCCTCGTCATTATAATTCGCTTCCGATAGCGAAAGAAGAAAGTGACAGAGGTTATTGAAAACGAAAAAATTTCGATTGACAAATTAGTCGGTATTCTCGACACAGCAATTATAGGACTTGAACAGCGGAACTTTGTAACTGAACAAGAAATTATGTCTGTTTAATAGAATTAAAGAGAAAGTATTATCACATGAAAACGAAGCAACTTAAACAACTTACATTGAAAGAAATGTTTAATAAAGTAAACAAATAAATATTAAGCTTTTTCTTTTTGTAAATTTTGATACCCTTTAGATCATAATTGTTCTTTATTTCATAAATTACGGTTTCATATTTTTAATTTTAGAATTTCTGCATGCCATCTTACGAGATTTAAAGTGATGATCTATAATCCGGAAAAATCGATAATCCGGAATCGCCGAAGTCCCGACGAGTCCGGATTAACGACTTTTGACTGTATTATTTTTCTTTCATACACTTCTATTCTTCCAATTAATGCCACTTACGGCCAACACTTAAGAAATTAATATCTAATGGTACTAAGCTATGATTTAATTACAAAAGATAGAATTTTACAGTAGGCTGAACAGTGGAAAAACATCATTAAGTTAATTTAAATTCTGCTTTGCAGACACTACAAGTCACAAGACTATAAGCTTTCCCTTCAGCTCAAAATATGACCTCTGGCATTCAGTGAAGTAGCTTTTGGCAATCAAAATACATAGATATGGTGAATTATTTTGAAAAAGTCATTACTTTGTATTTCCTCAAGCTGTACAACACATAAATATGCTTTTCTCGAAATACAGATACATGTTTTTGGCAATTTGCTGCTGCAATTTAGAAAAATTAGGTAAAAAATAACCGACTTATGAAACATTACAGGCATAATAACCAATAATACAGTAAAAGCTTCCTACAGTAACTATCCATGGTGTCAGATGATGTGGGTTTTCTATACAAGCAACCCACTTTGAGAATATGAATATCAGTAATATTCAATATTATTCATGGTCATACATTAAAATACTGCTTACTTTACATATGATCACCAAGAAAAATTTGAAATTATTTTAGTAACCAATTTAATCATATAATAAACTATTTGTAATAATATTTTTTTTCGAAAACTTCAAATATTTCATATTTCTGCTCACATTATATATAAATATTTCTTTTAATTAAAAAATACATTAGAAAGTTATTCAGAAAAAGTATGTATTTATTACAACTAAATTATTTTGAAGTGTTTCAGAATTTACTCATAATTTACAGAAAATGTATAGTATTTTCAAATAATAATTAACAGATTAAATAAGAAATTAATTTTAACTTATCTCCTTTAATGTTATTTATTACACAAGACACAGAAAGTATTTTATTGAATTTAATTAAATGCAGAAAAATTTTCTACCTACACTGACTTTTGTACAGCATGCAACAGAAAGATTAACTGCATGCTATCAAGTATTACTCACAAAAATTCAAATTGTTTATTATTTAGATCTATGCCTTTTGCTTCAAAGCAATCTCTCTATCATCATTTTTGCCAAAAAGAAAAATTATAGAAAAAAACTTGCATCTGGCTATGGTCAGCATGTTTCTTTTAGGTATCCTCAGTATTTTCCAAATGCTATTCCTGGACGTTTAATCTTAATTTGAGAAGACTGGAATGGGTGGGTTGCTTGTACTATCTCATCCCTAACTATTCAAACATCAAAGAAGTCTGCATTAACTATGCATACCGACATATGCAAATTTAACAAAAACTTTATTGCACCCATTAGCAATTAAGCTTAGAAGGACAAGGCAAATTTCTGCCTACCTATTGTCACTAATCATTAAGCACATATGTCTTGGAGTATTTTTAGTAGTCTCAAGGAAGAAAAGAAAGGTGAAGCCCTATATTTCCCCCCCCCCACGCACTAGCTTGCAGCAATGAGAACCCAATTGATACTCAAAACATCAAGTCATTTACCATTCATCAATACAGGTTCATTTTATTTTGAAGTAAATAATAATAATAATTGCAACATAAATATAAATGTATATATTTCCTTTTTATGCAATCTTTCAGAATGTTAACATGACAAATATTACTTTTTTAAATTACAATTAATTCTACAAGAATAAAAATGCTATTACTCTTTATATGCTTAGAATAATTTTATAATGAATGAAATATTTTCACAAGTTTTCACATTATAGTTATCTGATTTTCATGATTAAAATAAAATAACAAAGTTTTTTTGCATTATTAATATCTAAATCATGTATTATTTTCTTTGCCTTCTAAAATACTTTTCTGAGATATCATTCAAACTAAAAATCATTATTGTACAACAACTTGGCGTTTTCTCAACTGAGTTAACCACTGGCCTAGTAGCAAAATCACTAGATGCTGGTAGTTTCATCCGGGTTCCAAACCCAAAGAACGAGCTGGGAGCTGGCTGTACAGGAGTTTTCATGGATTTTTCCTTGATTAATATGAATACCAGCCAGTTTTCCTTTGAAAGTTCTCTGCAAAAGCGTTCTTTGCCTCAAGGAAAAAAGCGTAAACTGCCTTGCCATAATCTAAATAATCCAATCTTATCTCAACTTATTTCCAATTAGAATATATTTAATTTTGATAACTTAATATTACTGCATAACTGTTCCACACAAGTTACTTTTTATGTACGTTGGGGGGAATATAATATTTTTAGACTAATAACTAAAGTATTACAAAATATAACGTTAGCTACTTTCATAACTAATTTTTATCATTATTTAAACTGAATACTGTCGTGTAGAGAATTGTCTGATCGCGTTATAAAAACTAGGTGAATGATTTTCTGATTTTAAGGAAATCTTAATTTTATTTGATTCTGAATTATTTATTTTAATGCATTAAATTTTGGGGAAAAACAGATGCTTCTGGGAATATTTTTTAGTTTAGAAGAATATTATTTATTTTCCTTTATTTGCAATTTTTGTCCAAGCTTTGATTCATTGTGAAAAGAAGCAGGGAAAAGGAGGCAATTTTGCTAAGTCATGATTTCGCACGTTTTGTCCTTCAGAATGTTCTAGAAGAAATTTCATTGTGCAGTTGACCTTAGGACAGGAAGTACGTGACAGAAGGGTCAGAGGTTGTCACTTAACCTTCGATGTAAGTCATTCAGGTTGGCGATCAGAAGGTCCGATTGTTGGCTAGGTGAAGGAGGGGAGCGCACGCGCATTCGCCCTTATTTCCGCATTCGGGGTGAAACGCAAATTTTGCCCAAATTAAGGGGGCGATAACTGAAGCCATAGTGGGAGCCCGTGTTTGTGAAGGAGACGAAGAAAATTCAAGTTTTAATCACTTTATGCCGGACTTTCGAAGCTGAAGGATTTGTTAAGTTTCTGGGGTTGAATAAGAGGTAATTCAGGCGGATCACGGCGGACACTATCTGGCCATCGCCTTGCTGTCAAAAAGAGAAAAAAAAAAAAAAAAGATTCAGCGAGTATTAAGTTTTTTTCTCTCCAGCGTGTATTAAATTCTAAAAATTATTGGCCAAGTTCCACCCCGGCCAACGTGAGATTTTATACTTGACATCCTGACTGCGAGCTTGAAGATTCTGTTCGGGTGCTGGTTCTGGTGGCTTACTTTCTGTGATGATGAGCGTGCGGATTGTGTTGCTGAAAAATAATGGAGTTGGTGTTCTGAATTGCGGCCAGTGACACTGAAAGGCGTGAGACTCCTTAGACACCTGTGTTCCCCTTACGGAATGCAATTTTCCAGGAATTATGGTGGACTTATAATCCCCTGATTTCTCCCAGAATGCAAGGCCAGCCCGAGACCTTTCCAGGTGCGTTTCAAGTCGTCAAAACCACTGTGAGGAATGTGAATAAACTGGTATTTAATCTGGAAACCTATTACTTATGTTTTCTTTATATCTTTTATGTGTTTTTTCTTATATATATATATATTGATTTTACATGTTATTTATTCGATCCTCTCACGGCGCGGTCCCGGATGCATTTTCACAACGCAATGCATTACCGTTTTACCTATACGATCATTAAACGTGTGGTAATTAGCAAGCTCTTATGAGTTTAGTTTCTCAGTTGATATTTAGTTAGTTACGGTTTCACCTGTCTGTTTCTGCATTAGTTTCCTCCCTCAGAGGAAGTTGTAACACAGCATTGGTGCCCATGATTTTACGGCAAAGTATAGAAACAGAACATAGGTCGTGACCTCATAACAATACCGCAAAGCATATGAGGTTTATCTGCCTAAGCGGAAGGATGCTTCAGTGGGGGGGACTTTCTTCTGGAAACTAGATTGTGTGTATTGTTTGAGGAAAATAAAAAATCCATGCAACCAACCTGTTTGCTAGGATCCAAAACCTAGTTAAGTACCTGTTTTCAGTGGTCTTATCAAATCAGTCATTGCGGTCTTCATAACTCTGTAAACTTTTCAAATACCCAAAGGAATTTTCACAAGATATGTGTAATAAACTAGATAAACTGGATCTTTCTGATAAGCAATTTTAATTATCAAATACTTTTATAAAAAGAGAAAAAGAAAAATATATTAAAGTACAGCATTTTAACACTCTGAGCAGCATGGCTATTTTTTATCCAGCATGAAATGTTCTGCTACTTACCATATATTTACATGTTATTTAAAATATTGTATTTTCTTATAATAATACATAATACCCTGAAGAATGGAATGTTAAGAAAACAAACAGTAAAAGAAGTACTTCAAAGTAATACAAATCTAATACATGTTTATATACAATATATGTTTTATTACTCAGTTAATCCAAAAAGACATCCTGCTCAAAAAGATGAAATGCCATTCAAAGTAAAGCTCCCTGGAAATAAACACATGTGCCATGCTCCCTCTTTCTACAATGTAAAGTTGATAAAGGTGAGGAGAAAGAAGTGCTTGTTCTAACCTTCATAGTTTCAATAACCTTTCCCCAAGATGGTTGCTTTAAAGTCACATGTATCAGTGCATACAGCTTTCACTGGTGCTAAGGATTTCAGAAAAGAAGTTACAATCATTTGTGGCCTATTCACGAAGGTCTGTATAGATAATAGAGCAACTTTATTTTTATTTATCATTGCCTCACCACAAATTTTACCATGGCTTTGGGCTTCTCAAATAAGTCCTAAGATACGTGTATATTATCTTCAAATGTTTGCCACTGCTGCCTTAGAACTATTTTAAATATTCTCGCATGTTTCTTAGTTTTTGTTAGAAGGTTTTCTGGAACAATCATCAAGTAAGTCCTTGAAAGTATGCTCAGAAAATACTTGGAATTTGGAACAGAATTTGAGACAAAATTTTGCCCTTGCATATATGCCATTTCAGCAGTGAAAATAAGAGAATGATGCAAATTCATTAAGAGATTATTCCATCACACAACATGCAACTGCAGTTTATTTTTTAAAAATAGACATTTCAAGGTCTTTAAGACCCTCTCTCATTTAGGATTGTAACATGTGTCATCACCACTACACAATGCTTACTTTCTCCATTTCATTTGAGATTAATGCTCAAAAATCAGCCTTCATTCATGCACTTTTCATGAAGTGAGGTAAACTTGATGACCTTCCGATGTTGTTGTTACCATGGTTATGAAGCAAGCCAGAAAGGGGCAGGGATAACTTTAAGTAGAAGAATGTACAGATTTCACTCCAGACTATAGTAGAAAAATTCATAAAGAACTATTTAAGTTTGTAAAACAGATCCTGAAAAAAGTGACACTTTTGGCAAGAAATTTCAGATTCAGCAGACTGTATAATATAAAATATTAACTTACAGCAGCAACAATACTTGAATTAGAAGCCCAGGCACAAGTAAGGTAGGGCAGGAACTGTGTCTTGACAGTCATTAAACTGCAAATAAAAAAGAAGATATTTTTAGAATTACAAATGGAAAAAAAATATTGCTTCAAAATACATTCTGGTCACACGTAACACATCCAACTTCAGTACTACAGTTTACCGTAAACCTTCATCGGTTTGCCTTCCACCACACTTTAAATCATGTCATCCGACTAAACAAAAGTTAGCTTCATTTTATTCCTATGTTTTCCATGCTCTTCAAGTTTGCTCCTCCAAACTAGCCCTTGATGAAGAACTAAATTATTTAAAAGCAATAGCTATTGACAGGGGCTTTTCACCCAAAATTATTAATCAAGCAGTTAAAAAATTCTCATCTCAACACACTAAAAGCCACACTCTTGTTTTAGGAGATTATAAAAATTCTGTTGTCATTCCCTTCTTTCCATCAATTAGCTATAAAGTTGCACATATTTTGCAGAAATTTAACTTTCGGGTTGTTTATTCTCCCATCAATAAAATTCGGACTTCTATACTCAATGACCCCATTCCGGATATGAATTCCTGGGGTATTTATAGGATTCCTTGCCAGTGTGGTTTAATTGACATTGACCAAACTAAGAGAGCCTTAAAATTTTGTGTCAAAGAACATGAGGCATATGTTAGAAAAAAGGAAAAACACAGAAGTCTTCTGTTGCTCAACATTGTTGGTCCGAAAATCACACTTTCAATTTTTCTGCTGCTAAAATTATTCAAAAAACATCTTCCATTGGAGAACTGGATTTTCTAGAGGCATTTCACATTCAAATAAAAAATCTTTCTGTTCTAGTTAACGATCCTAATTCCAATCCAAATTTGCCTTCGGCTTTTGAGAGAAATTATGTTTTAGTTCTGGTTTCATCAGCAACAGATGGCGCCACTTTGCTTATCTCCTGTCCAGGCTTTTTTATCTTATCTTATCCTAATCATTATTTCCTATCTTGTTCATTTGCGGTTTTGCAGCTGAAGATGGTGGTTCGGTAAAACCATCGAAACTAGTCCTGTGAAAATTTTGTAAATATAACGCTGATTTTTGTTGTTTGACTTCTGAATTAGTATTTATTCGGCATGTTATTGTGTCTTAATTATAGAAGCCCCAATTTTATTATAGAAGCTTATTTTTTGCTTTCTTTTTTGCACGTGGTGTGGCCGCCATTTTGTGATTGTAGGAGTTTCGGTGAGTACTTTTTTGCAATTTTCAAGTTATGTTTATGTTTTGTACATTTGGATATTGTGCTTTGCTTGTCTGATTTCATGCATTTTGCTTACAAACATTTTGTTTTCTATTCATTTCAGTGAGGGATTTTTCTGCTGTTTTGTGTGTACTTTATTATTGCTCAGTTAATTTAGTTTGATTTTCTGCATTGTTTATCATGCCTTCATCCGTTAATCGTTTCACTAAATTACGCCTGAAACGGCATAAATTCCTGAATCATCTTGACTTTTTACTTATATGTAAATGTAAAAAATTGATTCCCAATTTTATTCAAATCAAATCTAATCAAAAACCTTCGAGTCGCGTTTTAAGAATTCTGTTAAATTGCAAGCTTGCCTTACTTCGGTCCGTGATAAGGGATACACGTCAACAATTGTCCAAAATTGAACATGAACTCTATAAGCTTCATCTGGAACTCGCTAAATCATATCCAAAATTCACTGCCCTTGAACAAAAGTCTTGGTCTAGAACGGAGAATGCAATTAACCGTCTTAAAAACACCCTTGCAGTTAAATTCGAAAAACTTCTTTTACAGTCTTCCAGTTCAAGTAGTTAAAAAAAAAATCTTCCCATTGTAAACATTCAAGCCAATAGTTAATATTTCTAATGTTAGTTCTTTCAGAAGAACAAGAGAGAATTCTCAAATCTAATTTTAACTTCTCACAAACCTGTAAACCCTCGATTCCAAAGATTTTGGCTCCTATCGAAAAAGCTTTCAAGTTCAGTAAAGTTTCAGATTCACAGAAAGAAATGACTAGGCATCTTATCGCTCATAATGTGAAATTCAATAATAAACCTTTGAAACCAAATCTAACTGCGAGAGAAAGAGCTACAATGCGCGAAATTCATTCTAACCCGGATATTATCATTTCAAAGGCCGACAAAGGTGGCCAGATAGTCGTTATGGATAAGAACACTTACATCGATGGTGTCACTAAACTCTTAAACGAAGGACCATATAATCCGATCCCTAAAGATCCTTCACCTTCGGACTTGTCCAAAATAAAAACTGCGATCAAATCTTCGCAAATCATTTCGAGCAACTTAAAACATTTGCTTATCCCATCTGTTGTGAATTGTGCCAGATTAATATTCTCTTCCCAAAATTCATAAAAGTGGTGTTCCTTTCCGACCTATTGTATCAAATTTAGGTACTGCCTCGTATCCATTAGCTAAATATTTAGTTTCTAGATTTTCCACTCTATCAGACAATAACATTTACACCATAAAAAATTCAATAGAGTTTGTAAAAAAGGTTAAAAGCATTTCCCCTAGTAATTTACTCATGGTTTCTTTTGATGTAAAATCATTATTCACCAATGTCCCAGTGGAGGGTGCATTAAGATGTCTAGAAACCAGACTTCGTGAATTTCATTTCTCTTGCATCGAAATTGATGAGCTAATTTCTCTCACTCAACTCTGTTTGAAACAAACACATTTTGTTTTCCAAAATAAATATTACAAGCAAACTGAGGGATTAGCCATGGGAAGCCCCCTCAGTCCCATCCTGGCTGATATCTACATGCATTATTATGAATCCAAATTGTTTGAAACTTTAAACATCCCGGGCATGGTTCCGCTACGTAGACGATACTTTTACCCTGTTTGAAGGTAATAAAGATGATTTAAATAAAGTTTTTTCAACAATGAATTCTATTGATCCTGCTATTCAGTTCACTTTTGAACTTGAGACTTGCAATTCTCTTCCGTTTCTCGACATTCTGGTCACACGCAACACATCCAACTTCAGTACTACAGTTTACCGTAAACCTTCATCGGTTTGCCTTCCACCACACTTTAAATCATGTCATCCGACTAAACAAAAGTTAGCTTCTTCATTTATTCCTATGTTTTCCGTGCTCTTCAAGTTTGCTCCTCCAAACTAGCCCTTGATGAAGAACTAAATTATTTAAAAGCAATAGCTATTGACAGGGGCTTTTCACCCAAAATTATTAATCAAGCAGTTAAAAAATTCTCATCTCAACACACTAAAAGCCACACTCTTATTTTAGGAGATTATAAAAATTCTGTTGTCATTCCCTTCTTTCCATCAATTAGCTATAAAGTTGCACATATTTTGCAGAAATTTAACTTTCGGGTTGTTCACATCAATAAAATTTGGACTTCTATACTCAAGGACCCCATTCCGGATATGAATTCCTGGGGTATTTATAGGATTCCTTGCCAGTGTGGTTTAATTGACATTGGCCAAACTAAGAGAGCCTTAAAATTTCGCGTCAAAGAACATGAGGCATATGTTAGAAAAAAGGAAACACAGAAGTCTTCTGTTGCTCAACATTGTTTGTCCGAAAATCACACTTTCAATTTTTCTGCTGCCAAAATTATTCAAAAAACATCTTCCATTGGAGAACTGGATTTTCTAGAGGCATTTCACATTCATAAAAATCTTTCTGTTCTAGTTAACGATCCTAATTCCAATCCAAATTTGCCTTCGGCTTTTAGAGAAATTATGTTTTAGTTCTGGTTTCACCAACAGATGGCGCCACTTGCTTATTCTTGTCCAGGCTTTCTTATCTTATCTAATCATTATTTCCTATCTTGTTCATTTGCGGTTTTGCAGCTGAAGATGGTGGTTTGGTAAAACCATCAAAACTAGTCCTGTGAAAATTTTGTAAATATAACGCTGATTTTTGTTGTTTGACTTCTGAATTCGTAGATTCTCTAGTGGGGCTTTAAGACGATCGTAATCAACCAGTGGACCACCAAAAAATTTTGGGGTGACCACCTTTACTAAGCCCAAGATGCGCATACTAGACGAAACATATTTATAGAGCACTGACACTAGCTAGACTGGAGAATCGGTATCTCATAATCAACGTGTGTTTATGTAAGTAAATGATTCAGTGAATGTACAAACAATGCATGTACATTTATTAGAAGCGCACGATGGCACTTAAGCACATAACATCAGTTACAGATTCATCGGTTCACGTATGTTCGCTGTATTGAATATGTCCACGCTTCACAGTCCAGCAACCACTAAAGTTTATCAAACATTCAACTTGAGAATTTTGTGTTACTTGTGCTTTTGTGGTAAAAATAGTAATCTGTCATATTTTAAAAGAGGGGTACAATGTCGAAAACAAGTGTTAAGAAAAGAAAAACATACAGTTTTAATACAGAATGGGAAGAACAGTTTTTCTTTACAACAGTGAATGCGTAATGCGAGTTTTATACATGTCATGCAAGTGTTAAGAAAAGAAAAACATACAGTTTTAATACAGAATGGGAAGAACAGTTTTTCTTTACAACAGTGAATGCATAATGTGAGTTTTATACATGTCATGCAAGTGTTTTGACTTTTCTTTACAATGGTGAATGCATAATGTGAGTGTTATACATGTCCTGCTTTGCAAAGCATGCACGGAAGTTTTGATGCAGACTTTTGGTTAAAAAGCGAATTGCGTAAGCAAAAAATTAAAAGAATTTAAATCGCAATTAATCGGGGACAACAATCATTATTTTATTAAACCCGATACTATAGCTAAGGTTGCAACAGTTGCATCTTTTCACGCGAGCCATGTGTTATCAAAACATGAGAAACCTTTCGCAGATGGAGAAATTATAAAGAAAAAAGCAATTCTTGAAGCCAGTGATTCATTATTTCATTTGTTTGAGAACGAAAATGAAATTACTTCCGCAATTAAAGACGTACAACTTTTGTGGAGAACAGTAACGCGCTATACAGAAATGATGAATACTGATCTGGCTGATCAGCTGACTGAAGATATAACTATAACTGTATTTGCTTTTCCTTGCAGTTTCACAAATCTACGGACATGGATGATATTTCTCAACTTTGCATTTTTAAGGATTTAAGTGTTAAGAATTATTAGCAATATTACTTCTAAAAAGAAAACACAAGGTAAAGATGTTTACTGTGCCTTCCAAAATACATAGAAGAGAAAAAAATTCCAATTCATAAAGTTGTATTGATGACAACTGATGGCACCCCATCAATGACTGGCACAATCAATGGATTTTTGGCTATATGTATCAGAAAGGATGACACAGCATTTCCTTTCCCATCATTGCATTATTCACCAACAGGCCTTCTGTTGTAAAATTCTAGATATGCACTGTACTATGGGAATCTGCATGAAAATTGTGAACTCAAATTCGAGGAAGAAGTTTACACAGAAAAATGTTTCGGGCCCAACTAGAAGAAAACAAATCTAATTATGGGGAAATGTTACATCATGCAGATGTTCGTTGGTTAAGTCGATGTACATTTTTACAAAAATTCAGGGACCTGCTACAAGAGGTAAAAGATTTTTTGGAATCAAATGATAAGGCGTACGTTGAAGTTAGTGATGATGTTTGGTTGCTGGGATTTAGCTTTTGCTATTGATAAAACAAGCCATCTTAATGAATTAAGCTTACAATTGCAAGGAGGAAAAAAATCAAACAATAGTAGAATTCATAAGATTTGTTAATACTTTCAAAAACAAGTTAAAGCTGATATCTTCCCAGTTAATGAAGAATGAACTAAAAAATTTCAAAAATATTTCAGATGAATTGTTTAAAAACATTACATTAAACAAAGAGAAATATGATGAAATAATGAAACTTCACTCTGAAGTCGAGAGACATTTTCAAGAATTTACTAGACTAGAACCAATTGTTACATTCATGTGTTACCCATTTAGCAATGTTGATGTGGAAGAAACAGCTGAGAATATAAATTATATATTCTCTTTATCTCTTGAAGAAAACGAAGTTTTTCTCCTTCAAAAATGACATAATTTTAAAAGCACTAGCTCAGAACCTAAGAATAACTTTGGAATCTAATGGGCAAAGTAAAGTATCCTAATTTTTAAAAAGTTGCATTTCATTTAACGTAGTTCTCTGGCCTTTACCCACCTGTGTGAAACTGCATTTTCAACGATGAATATAATTAAGACAACATATTGTTCCCATCTGACAGAAAAGAATCCAGGGCAAGATTAGCAGTTAGTAATTATATACAGAGATATTCAAGATTGGCAGACAGTAAGTATGCAGACTAAATCTTCTACTAATATAACTACGAGAACTAACACTGGATGAAAATGATTTATTTTTTAATGTATTTTGAATTGTTTGATAAAAAATGCATCAATTGAAATTATTATATTTGTGGCTATTAATATTATGTCTGAGTCTTGCATTTTGCTTTAAATGCAGTTTTACAAAAGTAAGTACTTTTTAGGTAGGATTAGGTAGGTAAGTGCATATTCCGTATTTATTATTAAGTTATAATAAATATTGTAGACTTTTTATCTCACCACACTTATGCCACTGGATGGACCTTGAAAACATTAGTACCTGGAAAAGTCTGCACACCCCTTGCTCTACAGCCATACAAAATAGCATTAAAGTTATCCTATATGAAGATTTTGATTTTTGGAATGTCATAAAATAGTATTCCTTTGCCAAATAAAGTTGTATTTATATTATTTTAATAGTTTGTTAAATATACACTGATTAGAGTGTAGATTAAAATCTAGAGATCTTAGACTTTATGATTATCTTTTCAAATTATTTCTAAATTAGCAAATGCAGTTGCAGTTTTTAAGTCCTTTGTTAAAGTTGTCTGTATTCTAAAACATACAATACAAAGTCCGAGATCTGAAATTGTCTGGACTTTGGCAATTCCGGATTTTAAATCAGATAAAATATAGTAAGATCATACGTAGATATGGTAACACTGGGTCTTCATTTATAGCTTAGATCAGATAAAAAAAAATGCTAACCGTTCACAAGAGAATTTTGACAAAGGTCGCGAAAACGACAATTTTGAACTTTGAAGAGCTGTATACATTAATTACGCAAATAGAAGCCTGCTTGAACTCTCGACCTCTATCACCTATTTCGGCTGATCCAACAGATCTTCAGCCTTTGACTCTAGGTCATTTCCTAATAAGAGCTCCACTTTTGTCGATACCAGAACCGAATGATTCTGTAGATTCTGTGACCTTGTCTTCTAGATGGACTTTAATTCAAAAACTTAGAGCTAATTTCTGGAACCGTTGGAGCATGGAATATCTTAATCATTTGCAGAGCCGCTCAAAATGGAATCAAATGAGATCCAATCTCAAGGCAGGACAACTAGTCTTGTTAAAGGATAAAAACAAGACACCCATGAAGTGGACACTAGCTCAAATCGAGGAAACCTTTCCTGGGCCAGATGGACTAATATGAGTCGCAGACGTCAGAATTTCAGATGGAATCTTTCACCAAGCCGTCTCCAATATCAGTCCACTCCCATTTCCAAATGATGTTGGACAATCGTCCAATGGGGGCCGAGATGTTCCGGTTTGATTAGAAACTTTCACTATGCCGATGTTCCAGTTTGATTAGAAACAAACTTTTCTCTGCCTCAGAATGGCAACAGTGAGAACTTGACTTTCGATTTGTTATGACGCAAGATTAGATTAATTTTAGTATTTAATAAATCCTTTTAAAACTAGATTGAGTATTTGATCATAGAATTATAGCTGAACCACCGCTTGCAGAAATTTAGATGTGGCATTTAGATACGTCGTTAGATAGTTAGATGCATAAGCAGTGACATTCGTGATTCGAATAGTGTGCATTAGTGCGTACACCGTTCACAACTACTCAAAAGCCAAAAGTGCGATCGCGGCTAACATCGATACATTGATTAATAAGCCATAAATTTCATATTTTTAATTACATGTTTAAAAGAACCCACTATTATATTATTAGCCCTGCTTGCTATGATTTACCTTCCAAGAATAAAATTAAAAATGAAAGTTTCAAAATTCTGTTAATAAATCTCGTTTAAGAAATTGATATAAAATCTCTGAGAAAATTACAGATTGACAGTCATTGTTTAAATTTGTAAAATAATTTGTAAATGTTAACATAATCATCGCATGACATGTGAAAGAAAAAAAGCTATCTCCCAAATTATAACTACAAATAATTTAATTTGTTTAACAATAATTTATGTGTTTTCCTTCCACTTTAATTACTTTATGTTTCAAAATAACTAACTCTGTCTCAAACAATTAAGATCTACTACCGTTTTCATGTGAGATACACTTTTTTTGGTATCGAAACCATTTATTAAACTATTCAATCAGCAAGAAACAGAAAAACAAATTGTCAGAGTCTGCCATTTCCAGCAAATTTTATATCTCCATAGTAAACAAATTTTTTTTAGCTTTATTAATGCATGGGATTCACATGTCCCAGTCTCCAGGGAAAAGTTAAAATAACAAAATTTTTTTCATTATGAAAATAACCTTATTGCTTGATTATAAAATTTATAAGAAAATCGTAAAATGAAGGCTTATTATAGTAAAGGCTTATTTGAAGAATATCACCTCAAATAAGGTTTTACCATAATACCATATTAATGCATACATAAAATAGCAAGAAATGGAAAACTAATTCAAAAAAACATATTGGTTAAAAATATAAAATCTCAAAGATTCAATTTGTAAAATATAATTCATACATTACATTTGGATAATTTTAAATATTTCAATTTAAAGTAAATCTCTTAAATTAATTTACAGTATTCAGAATTAAAAGTAATTGAACACCAAAAGCCATACATTAATTACTTCAAGCTTACTTGCATTTTTATATAAAATACTTTAAAAATTTTTGATTGGTGTGGAAAAAAGACAATGCATACTGATAAAAATTGATTAGAGAAAGAATACTAAAAAAACTCACGCCATATTTTTTTCTGCATCACAAACTGATATAGTACTGTCATGACTAACCCAAGCCAGTTTGGTACCATCAGCAGAAAAACTAACACAATGAACCCAGCCACCTTTGAAATATAATAGAAAAATAAATTAATAATAATCAAATATAAAGTTTGAAAATATAATGGAAGTACAATAAAACACAGCTAAGGTTTTGAGATGCTTTTCAAAGGAACTTCTGAAGAAAGACCTTAGAATATGGCTTATTAAAAATCGATAGTTAGAGACCAATTTTAAGTCTACTTTTAAAGTTTTGAAAAAATAAAACTCATTGGGGATGAAGCTTCTTTAATATAATGCATAAAATTTACTACATTTATGGGAAGTAGAATGTAAAATGTAGCAGATGTATGCTATCTTAGTACACATAAAAAGTTGGTGTTAATTGATTTCATCAGCTAATTAACTGCCAGTATCACTATCAGGCTACATCACTTGAGAAACCTTGTGAAATCTTTCGCTTTAGTGAAATCTATTGAAATATACATGATTTGCATTACAACTAAATTTAATGGCTCAATAAGCAGACAGCAAGAGACAATAGTTTATGAATTAATTAAATGAAAACTGAAAGATCTAAGAGGGGCTTAGAAAACATTTTGTTTATTTTTTGAGTTTTACCTATTAACTTTAAAATTCAGATTTCTTAGAAGGGAAAACTTATCAGAGCACTACCATTCAATAAAAATAAAACACATCACTAGAAAATGGTGACTTACTATTTGGAAATTCTGCCATTACATTTCCTAATGGCATTTTAAACCCCCACACAGTGGGTTCAGGTCTGTCATCTATTTCTTTGATATATGTAGAAAAGACCCTAAAATTAAAAAATGAAATCTGAATGAATTTACCATCTCCTTACCAATTAAAAAAAAAAAAAAAGATAAAGATATAATGTTACTCACCTTGTCTTGAAATCTGTTGAGCCACATGCTAATAAAACACTGTTTGGATGCCAATCGATACTAGATAAAGGAAAACAATAAATACAGATAATTCAGGTTACTTATATATATTTTTAAAAACAAAAACAAATAATAATTCATTTAATCTGGCCTATCATGATAATAAGTAAAGTATGAGTAAAGTATGAGACAGTAAAGTATGAGTAAAGTATGAGACAGCACATACAGAAATATTATCGTATGTCACGTATCAGAATTTAAAATTCATAAAATAATTTTCAGTAAATAATACTAACAATTCCTCTCAAATACTCCTATAACAAATCACTGGTTTATAGCCTTTCTGCAGCAATACTTGAATATCAAAAATGGAAAGTAGGTAATCAAATCCTTTAACTCTTTCGACCCCACTTCTGAATGATTAAAATTTAACTATGAAAAAGAGTTGAATTTAATATAGACATATTCAACGAAATGTAATCTGAGTGTAAGGAAACTTGTCCCATTCGTCTAGGCTATTGTGACTGACCTTACACTGCATGTGAATAAAGTTAAACGAAATGTACTGATTATTTTATTCTTACAGTACAAGTATGATATGGCATAATGCAGTCTTTACAAAGTGCAACCTGACACATTTGGCAAATAGGCCAGGTTTTTTTAGTTATATATTTATTTCCTAATTCCTTAAAAACACTGCAAACGTAAAAACTCATTTAAAAGTGAGTTTTATAAAATCTAATCTCTGGGACATATGTGCCCATTATGATCGAAAAGGTTAATGCACATAAACAGATAATACTCTGACATTGATAACTGACAGTTTTCTTATGTTTGAACGTAGTTCAGATAACCATAAAATTTATATTACTAATAAATATAAACGTGCTGCTCATAAACTTGCCAAATTTTGCTGATTTTTTTCCTCCAGAAGAATCAAGCACATAAAGCTGTTTTCAAAATCAAGAAAATTCTAATTATTTTCAGTAGGAAAAAAATTAACATGCAGCACCATTTTTCTCAAGGAGGGGGACAAGGACTTAGGGGAGTTAACAATGCTGCAAAAAATAAGTAAAGTATGAGACAGCACTTACTCATATCTCACAGAATTTATATAGTGCCAGAAGTGATAAATTTAATGATATTTTATCAGCAATAGCACAGATATGGTTGTCACAAATTTCAATGCAACACATTTTTTTGGGGGGAGGGGGTTAAGTAAAGTTGATCAAACTCCATTATAATTCAAATTTTTATCATTATAGATTGTGTTTGTAGTAAATTTATAGCACTGATTAATATCACTAATGCTCATGCTAGTGAGAACTCAAAAAGCAGTTGCCAATTCATGGTCCGCATAACTTATAAGAACTACACTAAGCATCCATAAGGAAAATAGTGACACGTTTGACACCTGAATAATTACACTTTAAAGAAATTGTTTTAAAGTTACTACATTTTCAGATTATTTTTTTCTGTTATAGACAAAAACTCAACTTTTTTTTTTATAATATTACAATCCTCTCACATGTTGTAAACAACCTATTATACATTATTCAGCAAAGATTTTTAAAATCTTGCTGAATAAAACTGTAACAGATATAATTAAATATTAAAAATTACTTATTAAGTGCATAAAAAAATCATCAGTTTTCTTTTAATACTAACCTAGTAACTGTAGACCGTATTGGTTTTTTGATGTGTTTGCTCAGCCACCAATCATTTTCTTCTTCAAAAAAACAGATAGATATCAAACAAGCACCACATCCAACTGCAAATTTTGTTTCTAAATTTGCACATAAGGGGGAAAAAAAAAAAAGAGACTCTTAACATCTGACAGTATCTTTTGAAGTTTAATGCAATACTGAATTGAAAGTATCAAACAATTTAAAACAATATTTTCAAAAAAGAGCACTTAAAAAAATGCATAATTCTGATATCATTCAAAGTTACATTTGGCAGATAACCAATAAAATCATAATTAATGCAAACTAAAATGATTCTGTAACATTACATAACAGAAAACAACGGCAGTTTTTTCCTTACCCCAAGATTCACAATTATGATTAGCTTTGTACATTGAAAATACAATACAGGAATTTATAAAATTATGTGCAATTTATCCTTGGTAACTGATTCTTTTGCACGACTGCTCTGTCATCTCTGCTATTATGCAATACCAAGACTACCACCTTGAATTAGTGCAAATTTGAAGCTACTTGTTAACATCACTGAATCAGTCACAGTCAAACAAAGCAGAAAAATGATGATTATAGACTTTCTCCCCTTTTTCAAAAGCTCATAATAAATAAACCAAACACAAAACTGGCACACTCCCAATACTACTGATATAAAATTAACTTCCACGCTCTTGACAGGTTTCTGGATATATGAGAAAGATGATGCATAGCAACATTTTTAAATCTTAGAAAGCAACAATATTTTCTATTTATATAAAAAGGAAAATAAACCTAAAATAATAATTATAACAAAAAATCATTATTTTTATGCACCTTGCCCAGAATATACATCTTTTTGGTTCAGCGCAATACCAAAAAAAAATTTTAAACAAATCAAGCTCTTTAACATTAAATGTAGAAATGAATAAAAAAATATTAAAGTACTCAAAAAATTATACAAAAATAAAAATGATTCTAGACTGACATAGATTTTCAGTGCATTAATGATTTCACTTTAAAAAAATACAGGGACAGAGCAATCTATAAATATATATAAAACTAAAGTTTACCTGCTTAAGTAAATAATGACAATAATCCCAATCTAGTTTTTTTCTCAACACTTTCAAAATATAACATCTTAATATTTTTTGTCTTTGATTAATTTCCTCCTCCACAAATGACATTATGCTAATTTCTTCTACTCACTGATTTGTATATTTGACTGCTTACCCCTCCCTTCATTGCAAAATCTGTTTGCTTTTGAACAGAAACATCAGCCTTTTCTCAAAATCAAGAATTTTACTTAAAATTTATGACAAGATGTACTTGTTGGAGTGGAGGGGGTAATTTTACAGAGTATCTCTGTAGAAAAAAGCCTTTCAATTAGAAATTTGACTTAACATTATTTTAATATTTCTTTTTACAAATAAAAAAGTATTTCAAGTAGTTTATGCTATGTATGGAATTATTTTCAAAATACTACTCACATTGAACTTTTATACTTTTAACCATAAGCACATACTGTTACTTCCTATAATCAACTACAAATTAGATAGCTTTACAGGTTCTTTAAATAAATATATTTTCTACAGAGCTAATGTATTAACTGAGAAAAACATTTGAACATAACATTCTGCAAATACATTGAACAGAATTCAAGGAAAAAATATATATTTGACAATAACTTGACTATAAAAGAAACTTGACACAGATTAAATTTTACAGATCTCATTTGTTAATCTCACACACAGTCTAATAAAAATAACCTCATTCTCTACACATAATTAATTTCTTATAGTTATGCATTTCATAAAGAAGTGATATGACATTTACTACTGAAATTATACATTAAACTAGTTTCATTATCCAAGTTGAGGGGAAAGCTGAAAAAGAATACGAATTAGAATAATTTAACAAAAAATTTATATTAACATTATTTTACAAATGCATTTATACTGAAGAGCCAAAACATTACAACCACCTAACTCAATAACACGATGCATGACCTTTGCCCTGCAAAACAGCTGCAACCTGCCTTTGGATGGATGCCGCAAGTTCTTGATAGATGACTGGAGAAAGGTTGTACCAAATGCCTAAGCAGTGGTTATGCAAAGTCGAGACATTCCGACATGGTGGTGTTGGACCGTGCCTTGTGATATCGGGCATTGTACTGTTGTACGGTTAAATTTCCAATTGGGAAGATAGGCACCATGTAAGGGTGCAAATGATCTGCATTTATGTTCAGATAGCCCACAGCTTACACAGTCTGTTATGCCCCGACTATTAGTCTCAGAGCTGCCCAAGGAAACATCCTCCAAAGCATAACACCACCACCACCAAGCATGTGTATGACCTGCTGTACAGGGTGGAGCAAATGTTCGCATGGAAGATGGCGTGCCTTGACATGACCGTCGTTGTGATGAATGAAAATTGTGATTTGTCCGACAAGGCGACTGTCTTCCACTTACCCACGGTCCAGTCTCAGTGTTCCCAGGCCCACTGTAGACATAGTTGACAATGATGCTTATAATGTCTTATAAACAGAGACACACAAGTTGGATGTCTGCTGCACATTCCTCTATCCAAGTGTCCACTGAAATGTATGTTACGAAACATTTACTGTACTGGGCTGTCAGCTAAGCCACTGTCTGATGCCGATTCTGCCACACCAAGTGAGACAGTCTTTGACATTTTTTTTCTTTGATGAAGCCTTGAACGCAGGTGTCTACTGATGTTTTCACCATCATTTATCCACCCTGCTTAAATACTAACAATAGCAGATTGTGAACAATCTATCAGATGTGTAGTTTCAGAGATAGTCGTTCTGAGTCTTTGGGCCATTACAATCTGTCCTCTATCAAATTCGCTTCACTACCACTTTCCCATCACTCGCAAACGTAAGTGCAAGAACGATGCCTTACCTTCTCCAACAGCAGTTAAATATCATACCCACTTAATCACATGCTTTCCACACCATCCAGACAAGTTTATTGAAAAAATGTGGGGATGATAATCGTAATGCTTTGGCTCGCCAATGTATATAAAATATAAATACACCTTTCACATCTTTATATATAACATACCTTTAGGACACCACCTCACACAAGTTGCAGCTCTGTTTATACGAAGTAATACTAATGTTGGTTTCCATTTGTCATCTACTTTTGTCCATACGTAAGCATTTCGATCCTAGATAAAATGTAGTTTCATAATTAAAGACAAGCAGTGTTTATCATTGATTTGTACATAAATATTACATGTCTTGCAATTATGCTCATACACTTATTTTAAATATTTTTCTTTCAAGGTTTAAATACTTATATTACTGTGAAAAATAATTAAAATGCAGAACTACTCCAAAATATCGTTTAATTTAAAAATTCAATGAAATCAGACTAGGAACTGCAGAAAACTTTCAGCTGAAAACAGAATTGATAGTTGAAGTGATTTTAGATTAACTAGGTCATCTTAGCAATTATAGTTTTACATTAAAATATGTTTTCAAATACAGATGAAATGAAAAGGAGTTTGAAAAGAGACTTTACAAAAATATTCACAGTGCATTTGCAAAATATCAAATTTGGAATCTTATCACAAATTACTGAGAAAATATGCTGATCGTTATACCACATGAATGCATAGGAGGAATGGCTTAAACCACTTACAAGATTGCAGATATTTATTGTAGTAAAAAAGCTTTACTATGGCATAATAACAACCTTTCACAGAAATGCCGATAATTAGCAGCAAATGAAAAGAAATTCTTAAACTACTACTCCTGTTTACATTTTAGTTCTTGCAGTGTTAAAACATTTAATTATGTGCTTGAGTTCCCACATATACACAAAAGAACTGACACCCTAAAGACTTTCATGGGTTCACATTCTCCTCTCCTCTGAATACAACAGACAGATTATGTTAAGCTTTTCTGAACTTTTTTTCAAGCATACTAAATACAGTAGTGGCTATGGACCCTGAAATTTTCCCAATTTGTAATTCAATAAGCTTATAAAAATACTATGTAAAACTAAATGGAGAAAAAATGCAGTTTCAGTTAGTATCAGAACATTAATTTTAAATTAAAGAATTTAAAATTTAATTCAATTAAAAAAAATTTGAATTTCTACAATAGTTCTCCTATAAAAATCAAATACAGACATAAATAAGCTCTGGAATTCTAAATGCTACTGACCAATCACAGTCGCTACTCTAGATGTCAATTAAATTACAACAGGTTTGACAATGGGCAAAGATAATTTTTTCTATTTATTGCATATATGAAAGCTGTAGCAGATCTGGAAACTACAAACATTTTTATTGATTGGACAAACTTTAAATTACACAGCACCCATATCAAAGAACAGATTGCTAAAAATATCTAATAGTTAAAAAAAAAAAAAAAAAAAAAAAAAACTATTTGTTATTAATACTTTAAATTAAGGCTCAATATAAAAAATATTCACGTAATTTCATGTTTCACTTCAGTCATAGCAGAAACTGTCTATCTACAGAACAAACAGAAAGAATTGGTTTCCTCAACTTGAAGTATGACAGCTTTTTCTAACTTAAAGTATGATGCATCACAAAAAACTATTTGATTTTATTTCCAGAAGAGGTAAAATATATATATATATATATATAATTAACTGACCAGTATGGTCTGCAATTCCAGCTAGCTAGAAAGTATTTATTTAAACAAATCACACCTATGTTTGAGTTTTAGAATAAATTAAATATTTTTTATATTGCAAGTACACAATTTCTTTTAAAAAATCATTACTGAATTAAGTATAAAAAGTCTCTTTCCAAAAGATATACATACATTTGATACTTAGATACATGATATTTTTGGTACTGTTATGATCACCAAGCGTATTGTTAACATAAAGGGGTACCAGGTTGTTTAGAATGTTTTGTTTTGAGATGTATGACTGGCAGCTATGGAACCAAATGATTGATCATACAAATTTATGCTAAAATAATTGTTTCTTCAATAATGAGGTATTGTATTTAGTGCCGAAATGAAATTAAGAATTGGGACTCTCCATATATTTTATTATGCACGGGGGAGGAATCAAATGTGCATGCAATGCAAAATGCAAATGTAAACTAAATATATATATATATATATATATATATATATATATATATATAATAAAATAAAAAGAATAAAAAAAAAAAAGTTGGTAGTAGCCTTTGAGGTCTGGATTTTAGATCATTCCGGATTTTGGACGTTCATATCTCGGACTTTGTACCGTATTACAATTTGAATATAATTAACAGATTTTTGCAGCCTAAAAGAAATTTTGCAATTGATAAACACTTTTATGTAGAACATCAGATAGCTTATTTATTATTATAGATTTGCAAAGTATAGAGGTTCCTATACTTTGCAAAGCTGTAACCCATTTTTTACAAACTAAATCTATAGTGACTCAATTAATCCCGACACAATGATTTTTTCAATATGTACAGCACGTGTTCTACTGTAAAGAGATTTTGTCGATCAAAGAGGAACCTTTGTGAAGAAAAAAGTATTTATTATTAAATATACTTTACAAAAAGTACTTTTAATAAGGGCTATTGATGATAGCAATATATTCTAGATCAATTCGAGTTATTTTCAGATGCAAGGAGTCCAATGCAGCTTACAGGGGTTGGACAAAAATATGGAAACACCTTTAAAAAAACATGTTTCTTTGCTTAATATGGTGGAGGAAACCCGTTGGCATCCAAAAAAGCTTGCAGTCTTCTCGGAATGGATAAATACAGTTCCTGTATGTTTGCCAAGGGAATTTTATACCATTCTTCCTGCAAAACGGTGGCAAGTTCAGATAACGATGTTGGCGGTGGATAACGAGAACGCACTTTCCGTTCCAATGTAGACCACAAAGGTTCGATAATATTCAGGTCTGTGTGACTGGTGGCCAGGGGAGATGGGACAACTCATCCTCGTGCTCAGAAAACCAGTCCTGGACAATGTGAGCTGTGTGAACAGGGGCTTTGTTGTCTTGGAAGACACCATCACCATCGGGGAACAAAGTTTGTACCATGGGATGAACTTGATCCTCCAAAATGTTCACATAAGTCTTGGCAGTCATATGCCCTGACACAGTTATCATGGGGCTAGCAGAGAACCACGATATGGCTGCCCAAACCATAACAGAACCCCCGCCATGTTTCACTCTTGGCAACAAGCAGTCTGTATTATAGGCTTGAGATGGCGTTCTCCAGATGTAAACTCGGCCAGAAGTGGGAAACAATGTGAAAGAAGACTCGTCAGACCATATTACTCGCTTCCATTGCTCTATAGTCCAAGCTTTATGACTTAAACACCACCTTTTCCTGTTATGGGCATTAGCATCACTAATGAGTGGCTTCTCAATTGCAGCACGGCCAGCAATTCCCTGTTTATGAAGATCCCTTCTAATTGTTTTGGTAATCACAGGGTTCATTTCAGCAGTTTCATTTCAGCAGTTTCACAACATTCATTTCAGCAGTAACTTTTGCAGCTGTGGTCTTCTTATTTTTCGTCACAATTGCTCTTAATGATCGTCTGTCACGATCACTCAGGACACTAAACACCTCGGCTACCTTGCTTACGGAAGCACCTACGAATCCAATTCTTTCTACTGAAGCTTTGAAAATATAACTGCTTTTTGCATCATCATACCTTTGTGAAGTTGATTTTAGGCAGTGGAATGAATGAAGTACAGTGGATCGACAAAAATATGGAAACACCTTGTGAAATAGTGCTCCAACAATTTGCCCACGTTCGAAGTCTGTTAACTCTGACATAATACAATGACAACCTCACATAACAGTACTCCGACAACAACTGAACTGTTTAGCACATTTACGAAGTTGTATAGGTGGCGTCAGTAGTCAAAAACGCCAGCGCCACCTACATATTTCATTACAATCAATCTTTCTTTTCAAACATGCATTTCACAAGGTGTTTCCATATTTTTGTCCATCCACTGTACTTCATTCATTCCACTGCCTAAAATCAACTTCACAAAGGTATGATGATGCAAAAAGCAGTTATATTTTCAAAGCTTCAGTAGAAAGAATTGGATAAGGTTGTTGGACAGATAATCAGAATTGTACAAATTTCCTGCAATTAAAATTCAGCTTTGGTAATGTATTTTCGGATAGCTCGATAAATTCTTCATCAGATTTTAATGATATGGCAGAAGTTATATTGCTCTGGAAGGGATGTATGATTCAGTTCTTCTCTTAGTCATTTTTCATTTCTTCAGTACAGGAAAATTTTCTTCCACAGCACTCAAATATTTTGAGATCTCAGTTATAATGCTATAAAAAATGTTAACTGTCACATTCTTGCCATTAGATGTCGGGCGTCTCTTCCTTTACTTTTGCTGTAATTAAAGTTCCGGAGAACGCAGTTCGAGATTGGAACCGCTCTGAGGAGCGTAAAGACGAAACCTCAGAGAATTAAAAATGTACTGTCTTAAAATAATTATCACTTACCTTGTAAATAGTGTAAATTAGCATGTTTTCTTTGAATAAATAACAAGTAAAAGACAAGAAATGGCCTGTTAATTGTAATAGAAACTCTTACTGGAAAACGTGATTATTAGAACGCCTGGCGTCGAGAACACTGAAGATGCAGCAGGTAAGGAATTTTACATTAATTTTATTGTAAATAGAAGAACCTGATGCAACAGTTAACATTACTTTTGATTATAAACGTCTGAGATGTTTCAAAACTCTCACATATGTAACATTTAATATTGTTTTTCCATAAAAGCAGCTTTTTGATGAATCCTCAAATTTTGTCATGCACTGCAAATATATCTTACTTCCCATGCCTTATAAGTACAAATCTAATTCATTAATTTTTGCAAGTCTGCTAAATATGTGAGCGTCAAAACAAATTTCAGATTGTGCAACCTTTTTTTTAAGTTCTTTATATCCGCCCAAAACATTGTTACTTAATAATAGCTTAGTTTCACAATAGCATTGTCCATCTTGATAGCCAACATCCTTCCATACGTAGAAATGATTTGTGGTTGTTCTCCATTTCTTCATAAAGCTTTTCAAATAAGCATGACTGTAATGGTTTTGATTTTGTTAAATATTCTATTTTAACAGCACTGTTTAAAGCATTTTTAAAATCATCCAGCATAGATTTAAATAACATTCCCTATGAACATAGCAGAGTT